CTTGGTGTGAAATTTTTGGAAAGTTTGCTTGATTGGGCAATGTGTCGAAAGATTCTTTGCCCAAGCTATTTTAAGAGTTGCAAAATTAATGGAGTCAAATCAAAGGTTTGCGTCATAGGCAAACAATTTGTCAAATTTGTTTGCCTGTCAGCGTTCTTGCGACAAATTAGAATTGATTTTCGTTTTCTTCGATACTAATTCGCAGTATATAGAATTGATTTTCGTTTTGTCCGATTTTAATTCGCCGTATATCTTCCACGATGGATGGTGTTCAATTTAAATATGTCGCTGAACTTATCATAAAACCACTGGACACTTTCGAAGAACTTAAAAAGACAGTTGCCCGGTTCGAAAACTTGTGTTTCTTATATGAAGAAATTTGTGATAGCACAGAAGAGCAGAGGACTTTCAAGTTGCAGCTCTTCGAAGCTACTGAATTGAAAGATGCCGCGGAAAAACTGTTGGAGGGCAGAGAGCTCAAAGAGAACCTAGAGAAGGATTCCGCTAAGGATTCAATGTCGGGCTACTGTTTTGCCAACCCGTCCATGAAGACGGACAACGCATTGAAGTTCAATTCGTGGAACGAAAAGGCTGAACAAACGATTATTCAGTTGAAGGAAAGCATAGCTTTTCTGGATCATTACACGCGAGACACCGATATGGTGGAATCGAAGCTTCTAGCAAGACGAATGAAAGATAAATGTTCGTTCGTTGAAACCAGTAACACTAAGCTGCAGATATATAAACTGCCGGCTTGTGTGGCTTATGAGGATTCAAAATCGAAGGTCAGACTGATCAGAGTTGGGCCACGAGACATAGACTCTCTGTTCAGACCGACCAAAGTGGTCATGATGACAGGAATGACAGGTTCTGGCAAGACTTTAATGATGAATGCGTTCGTGAACTACCTTTACGGAGTTGATTTTCATGACTCTTTTCGGTTTCAACTGGTCGAGAAAAGTCAGGAGAAGCGAGAACGAGACTTTGGCTCAGACTCAGAAGCGATGAGCATGACTTCTTGGGTGACTGGCTACGAGTTGAAATGGCAGACAGGCTTTCGGTTTGAGGAGAACCTTCTGCTAATTGATACACCTGGATTCTCAGATCCGCGTGGGTTATTAAGGGACCAGGAAATCATACAGAGCATTAAACAGTTTTTCGAAGACGACTCTGCGTGTATAGTTGGCGACATAGCATCAGTTGCTTTCATCATGAAAGCATCATCCAATAGGCTGACCAAGGAAGAAAAATATTGCATAGATCAGGTGCTTAGTCTGTTCGGGGTAGATTTGGGGAAAAATTTGACAATTTTGTTTACTTTTTCCAACGACGAGGATCCGCCCGCCCTTGAGGTTGTCAGAGCCGACAAAATCCCTTTTATTGAATATCTTTGCATGAACAATTGCAGCGTTTTTGGGAAACAAAACCCGATGAATAAACTTTACTGGGAGCAAAACGAAAAGGCGCTCGATTGCTTTTTCAAAACACTTTCAAATATTGAAGTTACCGATTTGAATCTAACGAAAGAAGTGTTGAAGGAACGCGATTGTTTGAAAATAGTTCTCGAAGATCTAAAGCGGAGAATCGGAGAATCTATATTGATGCTTAAAGATATGGAGGCTTGTATAGACGCTGTGCTGGCTATAGTTTCAAATATTGGAGGTCATGAACAGGATTTGCGTAAGGTGAACTTCAGTTACAGAACTCATCGAAAAGTTCTCGAAACTGTGTCCAAATACTGCATGAACTGTAAAACATGTAAACATTCGTGCCACGTTGGTTGTAGGAGTCCTTGGAACTACTGGTGTTCATGTTTTGACTCATTTTCAAACTGTAAAGTGTGTGATGGGAAGTGTGGAAAAAAGGATCACGTAAAAGAGTGTAGAATGTATAAGATCGTGGAGACACAAGTGAGCCATACGGTAGATTCTCTGCTCCAGAAGAATCAGATTCCCACTGAGGATCCCGATGCAGAGCGAAAGCTTCTGGGCATGTTGCTTGACAATTACAACCTCCGTAAAGAGTGTGTTTTTTACAAAATATTGAACGCTATTTCAACCATGCACAAGTTGGATATCATCGCTCTAAGAAACACAATGTTCACTCAAGAAGACTACCTAACTTATCTCATTGAGAGAGAAGTGAGTTTCGGCACATCAGACGGGAATGATAAAAGAACACAGGTAGAAATGCTGGAACAAATGCGTGAAGTTCTGCGCATAGGTCATTTTATGCAGAATTCGATTCGAAACGCGAGTGAGTCTTTTGATGCTCCGCAATCCAGAACAGTTATGGAGATTTGGTTGAATATGCATGGTGGGTATGAGAGGCAAGTTGACGACAAGCTTACGAGTTTTCAACAAAATTTTGTGAAAGCATCGGCCTCAGAGAAGTGTGATGGTGCAGGTATTTTGAATCGGACCAAAAGATTGTTGAATATTCCGATCGGAAGAGAGGCAGTTGGAGCATATCAGCTGCTTGATAGAAAAGTTGTGGGATCAAGCGCACCGAATTAGAGTAGACTGAGTCCTCTTAGGGCAGAAGTAGCAGACAGTACTTAGTTCACCATTACATGTTTGTTACCATAAAAGTTCAAAACTGTCGAATTAGTTAGACTTTTGACTCGGTTAGATGTTTAACTTTTTCCTCGTCATAATAGTCGTTTGTCAATTGTATTTAAACAAGGTTGGGATACTCAATCCTGCAAAATTAATTAACATTTTTCTATTTTTACTCTCGAATTTGCTTTTAGCCTAAAAATTTACAGCAGGAAGGATTGATTTTTAGAAGTAGCTCTAGTTGATGTAAATTATGATTTTGATTCGGATATTCAATATACTTTTATTTCTCAATTCCAGCTTGTACATAAGAAAAAGGTAGATCTTTATTTCAATTGACTTGGTGGATTCTCTTTTTCTGTCAGCTTAGCTTGTGTTTACTGTGTCGCTTGCTGTGCGAAGCTCCGCGTCGCCTCCCGGTTGAACAACTTATTCGAACGATCATTTAAATTAAAAGGGTTGTAAAAATCGAAAAAAATCGAAAGTTATTCATTTAATTGAAGAGCGGTAACTAATCAATAGGTTCTCTTAGCTTTTTATTTAACAGTTTTTTGGGATCCTTTTAATGACTGAAGTGGCTGTAACATGTCACCATATTCGATCGTATGCGAGCTTGCTTTGTTGTAAATGAAATCAAGTGAAAAACTACCCTAATCACATCATAAGTCCCTCAATCAAGTGAAAAACTACCCTAATCACATCATAAGTCCCTCCTGCACGAAAAGTCGGTCTCAGCAACAATTTCAATCACAAACGAGCTTCTAGCGAGCGTAGTGTTATATTACGAATCACTTTTTTTTCTAATCCAACTGGCAAATAAAAGTAATAATTTAATGGCAATTTGCTACACTAGCATGGGCAGTTGAATATCATGTTCTATCTGCTTTATTAGTGAATAGTGTGTATAGATCGTCACGCGTTCATGAGCAGAGGTGAGGACGTGTGATGCTTTAACTTTAGGTTGAGAGTTCGATTCCAGAACATGAGCAGACGTATAATTTTTCAAAGATTATTTAAATTTTTTTTGTATTTGACATTTTAGAGCTTTTTTTTGCCGTTTTCTCGCTTGTGTTTGCAAAGTGTTTTCTCGACTGTTTTCCGTATGGCATCAAGCTAATTCGGTTCCCATCGCATCGAGCTATTTTTGTCGGACTTCTTTTCTAACTTCTGGCGGTCATAACGTTTTAATAAGCTCTTCTGAACTCTCTAAAGATAGATTACGAAATACAATGATGAGTCCAAAACTTAAAAAACCTATTCATTTTAATGACTATGTTTTTAAGAATCATACTTCATTTTAGTTGAATCTTTTTCTGTTTTGGTTTGCTTTAAGTAGATTGTTTCTTATTAGTTTAAACCAAAAAAAAAGTTTAAAAAAGTCATTGGAAAACAGAAGTTGAGTTTTGGCTCAGAAGGACAGATTTACCTGGCCACGGTTGCCTGCAGAGCTTCGATAAGCCCTATCAGACTTCACGATAGATGGCGAAACGCATGATTTTTCCCATTTAATTTTAATCAGATTGTAGCATGTTTGTCCAGCTTTGTCGGCTGATCGGTGCTGAACTGCTCTATTGTTACGCAGCGTTCATAGATTCAGACAAAGAGACAACTCAACCCACATCAAGCTATGAAACCGCGATTGTAGGCAATAATTTGCGGCTGCCGTGGACCTGAAACTAGACCCCCCAGTGAGCTGAAATTGATATCACAGATTTGATTTTGATCATACCTTCGCCAATGAATTCAGATTTGTCGTGGTTGCGGCATGATTTCACGATGTAGATAGACCGTTACATCTTTTTTCGGCCGGAACTTGCTTTCTTTTGAAGTTGACCGGAAGGAACTATGGATTAGCTAGTGTGTTTTTCCGATCGATTTTGACTACCTCAAAGAAAGTACTTCGCAGGTAGTCAAGTGTGGTACAGATTGAAACCAAGCCCATTCAACCGTGATTGCACAAAAAAAGCTCAAAAGTTTTATCCGTTTCGAGAAAGATGGGAGTCATGATTTTCATCTCTTTTTCAGGCTAATTTTCAAACTGGATAAATTTCAGACATTCCTCTATTTTAATTTTATTAGCCATATTTATAGCTTTTTAACCAATTTAGTCCCCTCTCGCGTTCACTAGTTGAAACCGAAAAAAGGGAAAAATCAGATTCTTTTCTTTTTAATTTTTATTGCAAAAATAAGCGTGACGGAAAATTCTATGCTGCTTGCCAAACAACCGGCTATCTTTTCAAAATTTTTATGTTCAGTTATTTTTGAGCTCACCATTTGCATAAAGCCAAATCGAATTAATCCAAAAAGTGGTCATTTCAGTTTAAAAAGAGATCGTATTTCTCCAACAAGTGTTTGAAAATCTTATAACCTGTTTTTTTTTCAGATACCTGATCTACAAGCATACTTTCTGATACTTCATGTTCAGATGTCTGTTTCTTCTAGAATGTTCTGGAAGGCTATAATGGCACTGTGTTCGCCTATGGGCAGACTGGATGTGGGAAGTCTTTCTCCATGCAGGGAATCCCCCAACCCACCACTCAAAGGGGAATCATCCCGCGTGCATTTGACCACATATTCGAGGCAGTGGCTATTGCTAAGGACAAGAGGTAGCTAAATTTCCAATATTTTGAAGCCTCTTTATAATGAAGTTTTTCCAATAAATTTTGATATCAGAAAAAGTAACAAAAATAGCATTTCAAGTCAAATCCATGTTTTATGTAACCACATATGTAAGAGATTGATTTTCCATGAAATTCTTTTGTTGCCTTTTATTACGCTTGCGATTGGCAAGTGATATCAAAGCAGAACATAGAAGTTTCAGGGCAACAACTTGTCTAACAGAATCTTTGAATCATTTCGTGCCAAAATGCATACTTGGTCAACACATGGCGTATTTTGAACATATAACTGCTTTTTTACTCAAGCAAAGCTTATGTGATAGTATGAACTCCTTTTTTTCCAAACTAACTCACAAATATTAGTGTTCATTTCGAAAGTGTTCTTTCTATGCAGTATGTGCTCAAGATCAATAACCAGCTATTCAGTACAGCGAATGCTAAGGATATTAACAGAGACTATTATATTACAAGTAGCACTTTAGCTTCAAATTGGAATTAGTAAGTTTTGAATGGTTTAGTGTGCTTTAGGTTAGATCAGTTTCATTTGAAATCGATTCAAGTTGATGGCATAGCGTATTGTTTTCATGTCAAAAATTTTTTCAAAAAAATCATAATTTTCCAGAAAGTTTGCTTTTTTGTTCCGAGCATTGAAAATGGGGAGTACCTTCGTATTTGGGTGTGTATTAGATTTTTTCCTTTCTTTTTGTTTTCTACGCGAAATCAGCCATCACAAATTATCATTGGTTTGAGTTGAGTGATATATCAGATTACAGCACTTTCAGTCGTGATTCGACCGACATTAAAAAATTTCAAACAAGTTTTCCCAAAACCGGTTATAAACTTTTGATTTTTCGTCTTATGTTAAGCGAGTAAGCAGGCTTACATTAGCTTATTTATGCTCAATTTAAGCCTTGAAAATTTGATTTTACCCGAGTTACTTCAAAAATGCAATAAGTTCCTGAAAAAGCATTGAAAATTTTTTTTTCTTCTAAAACTGTTTTCCAATTTGCCTATTTTACTATGACTGTCAAATATGCCTTCTCACCACGCAAATGTTAACTGGAAGTCAAACTGCGCTCTTCGTTTACAAAAAGGAAAATCGCGCAAAATTGTTTTGAAAATGGATTTTAATTACTTGATTCCCCAACGGAATAAATAAAAATTTATGTATTGACCCATTTTTTGTACGGGCTATTGAAAATTGGGAGGAACTTTATTTTCGCGGTGTTGTAGTTCCTTTTTTTCCCACGCAACATCAGGTACCACAAATGGTCATCGGAATAGGTCGAGTGATAAATCATCAAATCGTTTTCAATCGTGATTCGAACCTTAAGTAAGTTTAAAAAATTTTCCCAGTTTCAAGATGTTTTGTCTAATATCTTCAATTTATGATTTTTCGTCTTATTACGAGCAAATAAAGCGAGCGAGCATGCTTGTAGCAGTAACTAAACTTATGAAGGTAACAGTAACTATATTGATATAGCATTGAAAGCATAGATATATTCAATAATCCCTATTTACTATTTCGCGGTTTGACTTTTGATTTCTTTTAAGTTAGGTTCATTTCCTTTGTTGAAGGGAAGGCAAACTCCATTATCGAACAGCAAAAGTGTAAATGTCGAGAAAAACGTGATCGACTTCTAGTTCCTGTTTGATTAAAACAGGTATAATGGGAATTCCTGTTTGATTAACACAAGTATTATGAAAGTGTATAATTTTGTGTTTTTTAGTTTTATTTTTTTTATTTGTAATGAAGCGGTTGCTACCAGTTATATTACACAAAAAGTTATGGCTGTCGAAAATTCAAAAGTTCACTTTTTGAACTTTTTTTGAAACTTCTCGATTTTCTAGAAGGTTATCCTGCCAAATCGAACTAAAAAAAATCACTCCAATTTATTTTACAGATTTAGAGAGCAGAACTATTGGAGGTTTTGCGTGAAGCCCAGTTTTTGAACTTTTTCCTTTCTCTTACGCGTCAATTGAGAAAAAATCAAGTATTATCCAACGGGTATTTGCAATTTTAGCTGGCCTCTAGTTTGTATGGGATTGGTTTTTTTATTATAATTATTTATAATTATTATTTTTTTCGGAGACGCTGTCGATATATATATATTTTTTTCAAAATCTGGTTTTTCTCGAAAACTACTCTACCGATTTTCAAAATAGTGTTACCGACGGAAAGTTCGCCCACTCCCCTGTGTGGCTGTCCAATCTGTTAGTCTCTATTTTTAACCTTAGATCTCTTTCTACTAGCCTTCAAAAAAGTGTGTGGGGATTTTTGTCCAAATTTTTTAGGACTTTTTTAAACATTTTTCTCCTACCCTCCTAAATTTTAAATTTTAGTTTCAATCGAAAGGAAAGATTTTGAGAAGGTACCTTGCGTAAGCGGTTACGCTCAATTTTTTTACACAAAAAGAAATGAACCTGGGAAATGTCGAGTTTTCGTTTTTTTTACCTTTTTTGAAACTTTTAGTTTTTTCTCGAAAACTACCCTCCCAAATCTGGGATTTTGGGTTCAACGGAAAGTAAAAGTTTTAGGAACCTCCCATACATAAGCGATGACGCCCAATTTTAATTGTTGAAAATTTTGTGGCCCTTGGGAAACCGATTTTTCAATTTTGACCTTTTATTAAAAAAACTTCAGACTTTTCGAAAACTACTCTCCCAAATCTGAGGTTTTTTCTTTCAATGGGCATAACGTGTTGTGGAAAGTTCGCCTGCAGAAGCGGTTACGCCCATTTTTTTTCTTAAAAAAGTTATGGCTCTCAGAAATTCAATTTTTTGATCGTTTTTGAAACTTCTTGATTTTCTCGAAGGTTATCCTACCAAATCGAACTCAAAAAATTCACTCCTTGTTATTTTGAGAACCAACTGAGGTTTTGCAGGAAGCTCACTTTTTGAAATTTTCCCTTTCTCTTACGCGTCAGTTGCAAATTTTTTCGAACAAGTATGACAGCTTTTGCTGGCCTGTAGTGTGTATGGGATGGGGTTTTTTTATTATAATAATTTAATTTTTTTGAAAGGCTTTTGAAAAAATTTTCACTTTTTTCAAAAGTTTAGTTTTTCTCGAAATTAATCTACCGATTTCCAAAAAGTGGTACCAATTGAAAGTCTACCCACTCGTCTGTGTGGCTGCATAATCTGTTAGTCTGTTTTTAAACCTTAGATCACTTTCTACTCGCCTTCAAAAAAGTGTGTGGGAATTTTTTGCCCAAATTTTTTGATTTTTCACATTTCCTCAAAAACTACCCTCCCAAATCTGAGATTTTGGATTCAACTGTTAGAACAGGTTGTGGGACGCTCACTTGCATAAGCAGCTACGCCCAATTTCTTTAAACAAAAAGTTATGGCCCTCAGAAAAGAAAAATTTCGATTTTTCGAAGCTTTTTGATTTTTCTCAAAAACTACCCTCCCAAATCTGAGATTTTAGTTTCAATGGGTATAATGGGTCGTGGAAGTTTCGCCTGCAGAAGCGACTACGCCCATTTTTGTTACACAAAAAATTATGGCTTTCAAAAACTAAAACTCAAAAAAATCTTTGCTAGTTATTTTGAAAACCAACTCAGGTTTTGCGTGCAGCTCACTTTTTGAATTTTTCCCTTTCTCTTACGCGTCAGGTGAAAAAAAATTAAAAATTATTGAACAGGTATCCAGCTTTAGCTGACCTGTAATGTGTATGAGATTGGGTTTTTTATTATGATAATTTATTATTCTTTTTTTTCGAAATTACTCTACCGATTTTCAAAAAGTGGTACCAATGGAAAGTTCGCCCACTTCCCTGTGTGGCTGCAAAATGCCCTAATACTTTCTCACCTTACCCCACTTTCTACAGCCTTCGAAAAAGTGTGTGGAGGATTTTTTGTACCCAAATTTTTGGATTTTTTGCTTTCCCTACCAGAAAACTACCCTCCTAAATCTGAGATTTCGGGTTCAACGGATAGAACAGGTTGTGGAAAGCTCACGTGCAAGAGCAGCTACGCCCAATTTTTTTACACTAAAAGCTATGGCCCTCAGAAAAGTCAAATTTTCGATTTTTTGACCGTTTTTTGAAACTTTTTGACTTTTCTCAAAAACTACCCTGCCAAATCTGAGATTTTAATTTCAATCGAAAGGCCGGATTGTGAGAAGCTCCCCTGCATAAGCGGTTATGCCCAAGTTTTTGTACACTAAAATTAATGACCCTCGGAAAAGTTGATTTTTCGATATTTGACCGTTTTTTAAAACTTCTTGGTTTTCTCGCAGGTTTTCCAGCCAAATCAACTCAAAAAAATTCACTCCTAGTTTATTTTCTTAGAGAACCAACTGAACTTTTAGGTGAAGCCCAGTTTTCGAATTTTTTCCTTCAAAATTTCAAAAATCATCAAACAGGTATTTTTCCAGCTTTTGCTGGCCTCTAGTTTCCAAAGTGGAATTTAGTTATGAGATTTGACAGAGGAATAAAAAATATACCTATTGATCCAGTTTTCTCGAACTGGCCTGATGAAATCGAAAAAGTGTCAGTCATAATTAGTTCTAGAAAGTCAATGGGTTTCAAGGATGTATATTTTTTCTTTGAAAATCTGAGAGGTGAGATTTTCTCTACAAAAAAAACAAACTGTTTCCTTGCGTTAATTCATTTTTTTTTCCAAATGCCAGTTAGCTATGTTTATGAAAGTTTGGTAGACGTAGTTTTACGTTTTTTTTCATGGAACTATTTTTTCGACTGGCTATCGTCTAATTTGTTTTGTTGGCTAGGTTGCCATGCTGTTTTTGCGATGTATGCCAAGTGCTCTTGAGCTCTCATTTGCCTCTGTGTTATATTGTGCGTTTGTTAGGACGTGTTGTCGGCGTTTGATTACAGAGACGGAGGCTTTGTAATTTGAGATGAATTGGTTTTATAATCTGAATGTTTCTAATGAAGCTGACCGAGAGTTTGGAAAACGTATTCTTTTGGTGTCTCAAACAGCGAGAGTTAGATTTTATAATAAAAGTAGTGGTTATCTCCAATTTGTTTTCATTATAGGTTTCTCGTGCATGCGAGTTATCTGGAGATCTACAATGAGCAAGTCAGAGATCTGCTGTCGAAGGATGCGAAGAAGCAACTGGATCTGAAGGAGCATCCAGAGAAAGGAGTCTATGTGTCAGGTAGTCCACCGTCCAGCGTCACTAAATAGCTTCTTTTCAGTCTAGTATCAGTGTAAAATGATAGAATGAACCCCAAGAAAGGCAGTCATTTGTCCAATTTTTGCTCACAATGAAGTACTCTGAAGTTGAGGATAGAGCATAAATGTGGCACTTGAAAGATCTCTTGGGGAATGTAATTAGTTGTAGTAAATTACTTCAATTTTTGAATGAGAAAATGCCGTAACAGTAGTAGTAATAGTAATTTTTGTTTCAGGTCTCTCTCAGAACGAGGTGCGCAATGTCGAAGACTGCCAACTGCTGATGGCCAAAGGGTGGAACAACCGAGCAGTGGGAGCCACTCTGATGAATGCCGACTCCTCCAGATCCCACTCCATATTCACAATCAACATCGAGATCATGGACTCCAATGCAGCAACACAGTCAGTTGGTGCTCCATCAGCCGGGGGAGGGGAGGAACATTTCTTGGCTTCAAAGTTGAATCTGGTTGACTTGGCGGGAAGTGAGAGGCAATCTAAGACAGGTGCGTCCTAAGACTCCGCACATATAGAGTGTGCAATCAGTTCCATAATGTTAATCGTGCGGTTTTTTTTACTTCGACCTATGGCTCAACTATGGTTTATCCAGCCAATTTTTACTAGCTCAAAGAAAACTTGTTCTGGGTTCAAGTTTCACTTGGGCTGGCTTATTCACATTCTCTGAGAATACTGTTGTTTTAACTATCAAAACAAATGTCTAATCTAATCATAAACTAAGGTGATTTATGATTGTCAAAATTTTGAAAAATTAAAGCTCGTTCATTAACTTGGAGTTAAATTTCACCCAACGCAAAAAAACTATACTAATCAACCAAAGTATGAAAAATCTAAATTTACTGATAGTTATTCACATAACGATTTCTTACCCCGGGTATTCCTATGTTTATTATATTTGCTGTGTCCCTTGATAAACAGCTCAAACAAAGTAATCGGTCTAAATGTGTAGGCGCGGCGGGAGACCGTCTGAAAGAGGCCACCAAAATTAACCTGTCCCTGTCTGCACTGGGTAATGTCATCAGTGCCCTGGTGGATGGGAAGAGCAAACACATTCCATACAGGGACTCCAAACTGACTCGGCTGTTGCAAGACTCCCTCGGAGGCAACACTAAGACACTCATGGTGGCTTGTCTCTCACCTGCTGCTGATAATTACGATGAGACTCTCTCAACTCTTAGGTTAGTTAAAGAACCACGATAAAATGTATTCAGTGTTTATTCTGAGGACATGGCTTAATATGGCATTTCTTGCTTGTAAGGCCTCATGAGTGGTGTTCAAGGAAAGTTTTATGACTCTTGTAACAGTCTTGTAATAAATAAAGCTGCTAAGTATGGATATCAATAGCGCTGTCGTCATTTATTTGTTCACAATTGAATTCTGATCAAATCGCGCCATCATTCAATCAAATGCTTTTGATTGAATGATGGTGCGAGTATTAACTCCTCCTGATTCTCGTAGTACTTTGTTGAAAGTTGAGTCATGGAACGTCAATAGATGTGGTCAGCTAACATCTAACGATTGGAACTATCAGTAGCGGATTTACGGGGGGGGGGGGGGGGGGGGGCTGACGCTGCCCTCCCCCCTCAGGGATTCGACCCCCTGCCGACCCAAAGGGTCCCCCCTTTGTACTATTTTAAGATATCTATTTTTGGTGAGGTACCTTAAAATTTTTCTAAAGCCAATAAATACTAATTTTTGATGGGGGAGCGCGCGCCGAAAAAACGCGATTTTCCAGAAAGTGCCCTAATACGCCTTTTTTGGCCTGTTTTTTTTCAAAAACTTGCCTGCGGCGCATAAAATTTGGTCAAAATGGGGCATTTATAGTGATTTGGGAGAGCTCAGAAAATCAATTTGGTCGACCTAAAAAAATCGACAAAATTTTCGAAAATTTTTCAAAAATACGCCCCCCTCTCTCGGGAAAATCCTAGATCCGCCCCTGGGGGCTGTTAAAGCCTATATAAAAACATTTATTTAAAGATTTGGGCGAGGATTCTTGGTTTTTATATCTTAAACATAAAATTATTTATTATGATTGTTCTCTAGGTATGCGAATCGGGCGAAGAATATAAAGAATAAGCCGAAGATCAACGAGGACCCTAAGGATGCGCTGTTGAGACAGTATCAAGAGGAAATAATGCAACTGAAGGCCATGCTAGACGGGAAACCACTGCCAGCAACTGTGACCACAAATCAGAATAAAGGTAGGCATAGATCATTTTCAAAGCGCTGTATTGGTTAAATATTTTTACTCTTGCAATAAGGAAGGGTATTGCAATCGATATAAGAGTTTTTTCCCGGAAAGCACTTTGTTGACTGGATCTCCTATTTTAAGATATCCATTTTTTAGCACGTTGTACGTTTTACGGCTGTAGTTTAAGAGCTGTTTTAGAGCTACCATAGGGATACTGAAAATGCAGCTGAAAAAAAAATTTTTCGTCGGCTTTAATGATTTCACCCAATTTTTGTCGCGTTACTTGCCGGGTGTATAATTCTGTACTTTTTTGGTAGATTTTTAAATTCCTTTTTCCTCCTTGTCAAGTGTTTAACTGTAAATCATGATTTACTGTTTTTATGCACGCCAAAACTTAACATTAAAAAGATTTTTTTGAGAGTTTTTCTGGTAGCACTTCGCATTAAATTTTCTGTTTCGATTTTTGATTTGTTATTTGTTCTACAAGTTCGGGGAATTAGTAAGTCGAATTGGTTAAGTGTGTTTTAGTTTACATCAGTTTCAATTGAAATGGATTCATGTTGATGACATAGCATATTGTTTTCATGTCGAAATTTTTTCAGTCATTATTTTCCAGAAAATTTGCTTTTTTTTGTTCCAATCATTGAAAATGGAGAGGAACTTTGTATTCGGGTGTTTTCTTAGTTTCCTCTTTTTTCTCAAATTTCGTTTTCCACGCAAAATCATCGGAATGGGTCGAGTGATGTATCATATTGAAGCCCTTTCAGTCGTCATTCGAACAATATCAGTGTTTAGAAAAACCTGTTTTAAATTGAGAATCAAAAATTCAAAAAAAAAATTCAGCAAAAAAAGTTCGAATTTCTTGTCGTTTTTCTTCAATAATTTTTGTCCAATTTGCCTATATTACTATAACTGTCGAATGTGCTTAAATTATATTTTCACTTCAGATCTTTATATTACACCACGCTGAAAAGACGACACTAATTTGAATAAACTTTTGCACAGTAACTGGCTATCCTTGTTTGCATCTTTGATTTGACTGTTTTGCTTACAAAAGAATGTGCTAAGTGTTGTACGAGATTCAGGAATCTTGGTTTTCCTGGCTGAAATTGTTGAAATAAAGAAAGTTCGCAATTTTTTTTTCAGATTTTCTGCCAGTTTTTTGCGCTTATTTTGAAATTTGGTTATGTTTCCTCCATTATGATCTTACTTTATACAAAAAACGGATAGGGGTTTTTCTTATTCCTATTTCGTCCTGTATGATATGCAGGTTGTATGGTTGCAAGATTTTAAGCAAAGTTTTTGAGTAAATTTAGGATTTTTTGGATCTATTTTGTTTTACCAACGTTTTTTTTTTCAATCATTTCCATTTATTGGTTATAAGAAAGAATTGAACGAAATTCATGTAGTCCGAATCTTGATTTTGTTCTAGTTAATTGCTTTGTATAACATTTTTCGTCGAGACATCTATTGATGTTTGGCATTTTATTTTGTATCGCAAGTGGTGCGAAGCTCAGCTTAGCTTCTGTGTTAGAAAGTTGATCTTTCAAAGAATCATTTCATTGGTGAATTTTAAATCTGGGCGAAACTAATAACTTAAATCAGGTTTTCAAGAAAAATAGCTCCAAGAGGATATTAATTACTTTTTAGTCTTTGTGTAAACCTATCATTTTAACTTAAATTTAAACTTTGATTACATATATTTGTGTTTTAGTGACGTCTAACAGTAGTGGTGACCGTGTGAAAATGGACAAAGAAAAAGAACAGATTAAACAGGTTAGTTAAAAAGTAAGAATCAGACGGCAGTGGAACATGCATTGGAGTTGATGAAGATAAACATTCCATCCAGCTGATGTTTAATAGTATGAACGCGGTTTGGCTCATTTGTTTTTTCGAGGTTTGACTTTTGATTTTTTTTCAAGTTGTTTTCATGTTCTTTTCGTTTCCTTTGTTAAAAGGAAGGCAAACTCCACTATCGAATAGCAGAAAAAGATAAGGTCGTCAAAAACGTGATCGATTTCTAATTTCAAAAATGCAATTTTATCAGATTTCCCAGCAAAATAAAAAATGAAAAATTTTACCTGTTGATCCAGTTTTCTCAATTTGGGTAAAATTTATCAAAAAAGCACCGATCATAAATGGTTCGTGAAATTCAAAGTGCTTAAAGGGCAATTTTTTTAAATTTAAAATTCGAAAGTTAGTTAAAAAAACAAATGAAATTTTTGTTTCATTACTCTTTGGCAACTCTCAGTTGGCTATGTTTTAACCTAATCATCAATATGGGTGTTGTTATGGGCGAAGCGGAGACTCGATAGGCTAATATGTCTTCTTCCAGTTTTGATGTTATGTTTTGAAGCGGATGTTTGTTGACTGTGATTGTATGTTATAGATTAAACTTCAATTTAAGAAGTCTAAAACAATAAAAAGGTTTATAACTTTTTTGGACATAGTTTTTACGCGAGGAAATCAGTGATTAACTGAAATTCACATTAAAATGAGCAGTTTTTGAATTAATAACTTCGTTCAGGTTTGTTGACCGAAAAGACAATTTGTGTTAAAATATATTCTTCTTGGCTATTTAGGAGTACGAAAGCCACTTGAGGCAGATGGAACAGCAGATTAGTGACTTGAGCAGAGCGAAGCAGATGGTCGAACACGAACTAACCTCTCTCAAACTCAAATCCACCCCGAACTCAACCGCTTCTCAAGGTCATGACCTGAGCCACAACCGAAGTGAAGAAGGACTCAGAGATCCCCCCAATGATGATGCAGATGATGACCCCTGTAGGGACGAAGGGAGACAGGGTGTGAAATACGGTCATGATGAAAATAGAGAAGAAAAGCTGGTGCGTGCAAGAGGTGGCTTTGACGATGATGGCGAGGGGGAGTTAAACGAAGGCATCGATGACGAGGAAGGGGATCTGAGAGAGTTCTACGATGATGAAAAGTGAGTGGATGTCATTCAATCTTTCTCATAATGTTTTTTTAAGGAAACAAACTACTTAATTGGGCCACCATTAAATTTAGCATCTCTAGAATGCAACACAAATCCTGAGCAACCATTAAATTTAGCATCTCTAGAATGCAACACAAATCCTGAGCAACCATTAAATTTAGCATCTCTAGAATGCAACACAAATCCTGAGCAACCATTAAATTTAGCATCTCTAGAATGCAACACAAATCCTGAGCAACCATTAAATTTAGCATCTCTAGAATGCAACACAAATCCTGAGCAACCATTAAATTTAGCATCTCTAGAATGCAACACAAATCCTGAGCAACCATTAAATTTAGCATCTCTAGAATGCAACACAAATCCTGAGCAACCATTAAATTTAGCATCTCTAGAATGCAACACAAATCCTGAGCAACCATTAAATTTAGCATCTCTAGAATGCAACACAAATCCTGAGCAACCATTAAATTTAGCATCTCTAGAATGCAACACAAATCCTGAGCAACCATTAAATTTAGCATCTCTAGAATGCAACACAAATCCTGAGCAACCATTAAATTTAGCATCTCTAGAATGCAACACAAATCCTGAGCAACCATTAAATTTAGCATCTCTAGAATGCAACACAAATCCTGAGCAACCATTAAATTTAGCATCTCTAGAATGCAACACAAATCCTGAGCAACCATTAAATTTAGCATCTCTAGAATGCAACACAAATCCTGAGCAACCATTAAATTTAGCATCTCTAGAATGCAACACAAATCCTGAGCAACCATTAAATTTAGCATCTCTAGAATGCAACACAAATCCTGAGCAACCATTAAATTTAGCATCTCTAGAATGCAACACAAATCCTGAGCAACCATTAAATTTAGCATCTCTAGAATGCAACACAAATCCTGAGCAACCATTAAATTTAGCATCTCTAGAATGCAACACAAATCCTGAGCAACCATTAAATTTAGCATCTCTAGTATGCAACACAAATCCTGAGCAACCATTAAATTTAGCATCTCTAGAATGCAACACAAATCCTGAGCAACCATTAAATTTAGCATCTCTAGAATGCAACACAAATCCTGAGCAACCATTAAATTTAGCATCTCTAGAATGCAACACAAATCCTGAGCAACCATTAAATTTAGCATCTCTAGAATGCAACACAAATCCTGAGCAACCATTAAATTTAGCATCTCTAGAATGCAACACAAATCCTGAGCAACCATTAAATTTAGCATCTCTAGAATGCAACATAAATCCTGAGCAACCATTAAATTTAGCATCTCTAGAATGCAACACAAATCCCGAGCAACCATTAAATTTAGCATCTCTAGAATGCAACACAAATCCTGAGCAACCATTAAATTTAGCATCTCTAGAATGCAACACAAATCCTGAGCAACCATTAAATTTAGCATCTCTAGAATGCAACACAAATCCTGAGCAACCATTAAATTTAGCATCTCTAGAATGCAACACAAATCCTGAGCAACCATTAAATTTAGCATCTCTAGAATGCAACACAAATCCTGAGCAACCATTAAATTTAGCATCTCTAGAATGCAACACAAATCCTGAGCAACCATTAAATTTAGCATCTCTAGAATGCAACACAAATCCTGAGCAACCATTAAATTTAGCATCTCTAGAATGCAACACAAATCCTGAGCAACCATTAAATTTAGCATCTCTAGAATGCAACACAAATCCTGAGCAACCATTAAATTTAGCATCTCTAGAATGCAACACAAATCCTGAGCAACCATTAAATTTAGCATCTCTAGAATGCAACACAAATCCTGAGCAACCATTAAATTTAGCATCTCTAGAATGCAACACAAACCCTGAGCAACCATTAAATTTAGCATGCTACATAAATCCTCAATTTTAACAATCATGAACGTAGTGAATACTTTTATGTAGGTCTTGGTGATTTTTGTTTTTTTTTGTTTTCAGAAAAAAGTCCTAAAATTTGTTCACTAAAATTTCGAAATGGAAATTGATTATCAGATTTCTCAGCGAAATAAAAAATCTCAAATTGGGCTGATTTTATCGAAAACGTGTGAATCATAAATTATTCCAGAAATTCAAAAAGCCTTAAGGCCATATTTAAGGCCATGTTCGTAGATCCCACCCCCTTTCTTTTAGAACGAAACCCCCTTCAAAAGTCCTTTTTTACTAACCAATTTCATATTCATTTTTTGAATTTTGGCATGATTTTGACGATGAGAGTTTTCAGAGAAAATGCCGGACTCTTCCTCCCCGACTCTTCTGATCTTTTAAAAACTTATCTCCATGCAATGAAAAACGCTTATTTTCTACTGAAAACTTCCCCCTCACCCGTCGATCATTTTCAACTTCAATGACCAAACCTTCCCACACCCCTCCCCCAATATCCGTTCATTTTGAAGCCCATGAGAACTAAATACTCACGAGCAATAATCTAGTTAAGACACTCTGAAGTCTATGCTCTAAGTTGAAGCTTTCCAATGTCTAATGTAGAGTGTGTTGCTTAAGTGGCGACTGTGAAGGGGTTCAAGATGAAAGTGGAAACTTCCTGAAAGTGAAGGACAGTGGAGACGCATCTGCCTTCAAAAAGAGTCCCGAATTGAGTAAGCAGAAAACAAATGGGCTAAATAAAGTCATCGGTTTTCTTAATACGATAGAAGATATACCCCAAGCTTATACATTACTTATTGGGCCTAATACTGTAAATGATTCGTAAACATGTAAAAATTGAAAAGAAGAAATTAAAATATATCAAGTGAGTATACAAGATTAATCAGTAGTGATTGGTGGTTATTGATTCGATCAACCTTTGAGTGAGCACCTTTAAATATTTTACACTACCCTGTTTTCAGGCGAGCTTTTTGACGCAGTAAAATTCTGTGATGAATTTTACGTATCATGAAAAACTTTTCTGTTTCCCAAAACAGAAGATGGTTAGCGATAACTAATTCTATTGTGAGGTATTTGAGGTGTTGTCTGTTTAAGGGCGCAAGAATGCCCGGCCCAAGTCGTCAGCCCCGAACCTCATCTCCATCTCAGAGGCAGATGCAGAGGGTGAGTCACACATGTCCACTCTCGCAGAATCGAGATACTAGTACACACTTATAGTGCTACGAGAAGAAGTTATGATGAGGACTATGATGTGAACCATTTTATCCCTAAAATCCCCCTATCCTCCTATAAAAGGTGTTCAACCAAGTGAACAAACTCCGCCTAAGTTGGTTTAAGGCAGAAAGTATTTTTTTTGGGCTTGTTATGACAACTTCATTAGCAATTTTGGTGTTCTTTGTTTACGTGGGCGTGTCATTTTTGTCTGCATTATTTGCAATGTTTGCCGCTTTTTGGGATTGGATGCAAAATTCGATGGTCATGAAAAAAGGGAAGCTGATGTGTGATTTCACGGGAATTTTAGTGTGAACATAGCCGGCGAGTTCAACAATGATGGTAGTTGAACAAATCGTTTATTCGCGGTTGATGAAATTTAAGCCCTGAAAACTTTGCGCCATTTTGGATTTTCGTTTTTTTTCGTTTTTCTTCAGTTTTTTTGTCCAATTTACTTGTATTACTATGGTTGTCGAATATGCCTAAATTATAGTTATACGACAGATCCTGTTATCACACCGCGTAGAAAAAACTACTAGAATTTGAAAAAAAAACTGTTTTATTGTTTTTTTAAAGACTTTGGTCGGGAGAGTCTGTGATAATTGCCCAGTAACTTGTTCAATTTGGTCTTCTTTTCCTCCCTTGACTAAATTTGTTTTATAAAGAATCATTTTTATAATGAAATTTAGCTGGAGTTTTACGCCAAATTTGGTCACAGAAGATATTTATTTGATGCTTACTTTTTGGCACAAAATTTCAATGAGCACAACACGCTAAGCTCTGTGCAGCATTTCTTTTCTCTTCATTCAATCAAACTCGCAAGTAATTATTCATCAAACGAGCAGAGAAAACATCTGCGTACAAAACAACACATAGGTCAGAAGAAAACGTTTGATCAATCAGTTGTGATTCAATCGAGTAAGAACAACGAATTGATCTGGGAACTATCGTGTCAATCGCGGACAATAATTGGTCTTCTAAGAAACTATATCTACTATTCATCGACCCGACAACAAAGTATAAAGTTGTGCTAGCTCGCTTTTTGTATCTACACGTGACGGATATAGTTCTTCTCGACTAAACCAAAGACTATCAAAACAACAACAAGAGCAACAGTGATCAAAAATAGTGTTGATTGGCGAGGATGACGCTGACCAACTTTGAGATCAAGAGTGTGTGTGTTGTGTGCGAGGTGCCCTTCGATTCTTTGGCGGAGAAAGTGCCTGGATGGAGCTACCACTACAAATGCTTCCACTGCAGTAAGTTCATTTTGATATCCTGTTTTTGTTTATGAGTAACGAACGTAGTTAAGTCGCTTTCATAGGTCTTGCTGATTTTTTTCACGATTTTTTCTTGCTGATTTTTTCAGGATGCTGATTCAGGAAAAGTCTTAAAAGTATGTAATAACTACAGATGTGCATTCATACATATTGATGCATTTATGAAAGCACTTAGGTATATATGCTTTTTTTGATTTTCATTGAAATTCATCTGCTGAAAATGACGTAAATAGTACTCTCCAAACACGAACGTGGAAATGGCGCGAAAAAAAACGTAAATGATTTCTAGTTTCGAAAGTGAAATTTAGTTTTTAGATTTTCAGCGGAATAAAAAGTTTACCTGTTCATCCAGTTGTCTCAAGTTGGGTTATTATTATCAAAAAAGCTCAATTCATAAATCGTTAGCTAGAAATTTAAAGAGCTTAAAGGTTTTTTCTTTGAAATTTGAAAGTTGAGCTTTGTTCAACAAAGTCAGTGTTTTTTTATTTTTACTTGCTTTCATTACTTTTTTCCAATCTTCGATTGGCTATGTTCATTCGTACAGTACCAGTGAGCCCATAGTGGATGCCATGCATTAATAACGAAGAAGAACCCTATGAGTGTTCAAGTAGAATTGCCTTCTAAATCAATCCTTGGTGATGAATCAAGCAGCGATTTTCGATCAATGGCACTAATACGTCAAGATGAGGCTATAGGTTAAGATGGGGTGGTTATTGGGTAGACATAAATTAGTTATAATTTTTTGTTAAGAAGCATGCAACAAAATTTTTTAAGTAATTTTCCATTCAGAAGCAAGTCACAAAATTTTGCAAATTTTTGTTTAGAAGCATGTCACAAAGTAGTAGAAGACGAGTACTTGTCTGACTCCTCCTCCCCCTGCAACCCCATCTACTGTCTCTCCTGCGGGGTGGGGGAGTTCAGAGAGGAGAGCATAGAGAACAACCCCACCCACTACTACATCAAAGACCGCGTGAGGAAAGTGAGACATGGAAAACTGATTCCCTTGATGGGACTGAAGAAGAAGATATCCTCTGGGTTGCATCTCAAGTGATAGAAAAGAAGCGAGCGAAATGAAATCAAATGAGTTCAAATCAAATCAAATGAATTTTGATCAGTCGACGTGCTCAAATTATCCTCCAAAGAACTGAATATCTTCCATCCAATTTGGCAGATATTTCTCAGAAGTAGTTTAATATGTGAATTTCTTCTTAGAAAAACTGACTGAAATTATTTAGATTATCTTCAATTTAGGTTTTCGCGGTTCGAATTATGATATCTTCTTAATTTCGATTCAAATTCATTTGCTAAATGGAGGGAAAATTACGCTATCTACTTAAAAATGTGCAAATGGCGCGAAACCTGAAAATCTTTTTAGTTCTTGTTGAAGTTCGATTTTAAATTTCAGTTCTCCTCTCTGTAGCGGAAAAAATCTTGATCCTTTTTTAGAGTCAATGATAGTTCAGACTCTTTTATAGGTCGCGATGATTTTATTTGTCGTTTTTTTTGTAGGAAGTTTTTTTCCTTGCGATAATCAAGGGTGTTGCTATTGGATGCTAGACTTTTTTCCCCGTACAGAATTTTGTTCACAGAATAGTCATTTTAGTAGGAATGGTAAATATAACTTCTGACATGTTCATATTCTTGATATTCGAATTAAACTACCATCATTTAAGTAGTAATTAGTTAAAGACTGTTTCAAGTTTTAATTAATTTCGAGTTCGTGTTTTTCGTTTTAACACATTTTCTTTATCTGGCAGGGTTTTTTATGGGCTTACTATTTAAGGCATGATTTTTGTTTTAATTTAAATCAGTAATTTGTACAGTCAGAATTTTTTTCGTTCATTTTTTTCTGTTTTTTTTTCTCTAAATATTTAAACAGTTTGTTTTTTTTCCGGCTTAGTCAACTTATATTGCGTAACTTCGAGGGTAAATATATTTCTATAGAATTATGTGCTTCAGGATGGCTCGTAAAATCTTTTAAAACTGAATGAAGATTTTTTGACAACAGTTTTGTTTTCGTCGAAACAGGTTTCGACCCAAAATTAGCTTTTTTAATAGCCCACGGCCTGCTTGAAATACCGTTGGGGGAGGGAGATGTCATCTATTTCGCCGCAACCGGTCGCACCTTGAGGAGGCGGATGACACTGGTTACCCCTCCAACCGTGACCGAAGCGGGATTCAAACCAATGGCCCTCGTGTTGAGAGACATGTGCGTAACCCAAAATTAGTAGCCTCGGTGAATGATTTCCAATTGTTTTTAAGGCTGTTTATGAATTTCATCCGATGCAACCATGAAATTTTTGTAGCTGTAGTTTTTCCAATTTTTTCGGGTGATATTTTCAAGTAATCTTTTCAACTTAATTTACAGTAGTTTTTTTGACTTCTCTTTTATTCCACTGATTATATTGTAGCGCAATGCGTAGCGCAGTTCGATGTTTTGGCAATCCAATTCAATAATGGCTGTTGTGTTTTGACACAGGTATTAATCAAAAAGATTTTTACAATCATTTGAAAATTTTGGTTGTTTTTTTTTGTCGTTTTGTCAATTTTTTTGGAGTCGTGGCTTAGTGTATCGCAAGTTGTGCGAAGTTCAGCTTCGCCTCTGTTTAAAACTTGTTCAGGCTCATATTAACGTTTTTGTGGTTTGAATTTTGAAATTCAGTACATTTTCTTTGTTAAAAGGAAGGCAAACTCCACTATCGAACAGCATAAATGTAAAGGTGACGAAAAACGTGATTGACTTCTAGTTTCGGAAGTGGAATTTAATTTTCAGATTTGCCAGCGGAACAAAAACTTAAAATAGTACTTATTTATTCAGTTTTCTCAAATTGAGTTAATTTTTTTTCAAAAAAGTGTGTATCATAAATTGTTGTAGAAATTCAAAGAACTCTGAGGACATCTTTTTCTTCGAAATTTGAAGTTTTTTTTCAAAAAAAACAGGTCAACTTTTTTTGTTTACTTGCGTTCATTGACTCTTTTCCAACTGTTTGTTTGCGGTGTTTCTTCAATTAGGGTTGTTTTAAGAAAGGAATTCGATCATGACATCTTGAAAAATGATTAAAAAAGCCGATCGTTTTATTCGTCTTCCTTGTTGATTGACACTTTGTTAACTTCTTGTTGGCTATGTTTTAACTGAATCAATCTCTACCCTATTTAATCAGTATCCAAATAAGTTTAAGCCGAGGAACGACGTAAAAATTTTTCCCCTAGTTATTAACTAATTTCATAGCACAATTTTTCTTGCGACTTCAGGTATATCCGCTTAATTAAGCTTATTAATAGCTGCCTAGTTAAGAGTAATGAACGTCGTGAGTACTCTTATAAAGGCCTTGCTGATTTTTTACTATCGCTTGTAAGAATTCATTTGTTGCTGTTCAGTTGACTAATATGTTATATGTGAAGTATGAATTGTTAGCAAGAAGTATGGGCTTGTTAAACCTACGAAATGGCAGACCGTTTTCTTGCTCAGGGCTTTATTTTGTTGAGGGTACTTTTCGTATTCTCATAACTTTGGCTATTTTATAGATAATTTTTTTACTTTTTCCCCATAGTGAATCTTCGCCGCTATAAATAAATATGTCATGTAACTTCTTAAGGCTTTTCATAAACCAAGGATAGCAATATCAGCCGGAAAACAGTTGATCTACTTTAGATAATAGCGTTTATTCGATTAGGCCTATCTCTTGTCAAGCGCTATTCAACTTTTGCGATTTTTTCCAGAAAAACATGTTTACCCTTGCGATTAGCAACGGTTTTGTAATGTGATAACAGATTTTTCTGCTGTTGAAAACTTTGTTTGTAGAGTTCGCTTTCGATAAGGCTACGTGTTTTATTTTGCTGCATTTTTAATTAAATTCAATTTTGGTTTGTCAGGGCGCGCAGTTGTCGTAGAGTTAACATCTGAGACAGGTTGATGATACTTCTTATAAAAAAAAAATTAGTTGGGCTTATGTTACATCCGTTTAGTTGACTCGTATGCTATTGTTTGAAGGGCGAGATTGAATAATAAGTTGGTCGTCTGTGCTTCAGGGGGACTGAAACTTAATGACAGTATTAAAACTCAATGAACGTAGTGTAGACTCTTATATTGGTCGTGGTGATTTTTGTTTCGATCATTGAAAATAGGGATGAACTTGGGATTTGGGTGTTTTAGTTTTTCTTTTTTTTTTCTCACAGAATCAAAAAACCACGAAAAATCATCGGAATGGGACAGGTAATATATCTGATTGAAGCCTTTTCAGCCGTTATTCGAATATTCAAAAAGTTTTCCCAGCGTCTCGAGAAAAACCGTTTTGTAATTTTTGAGTCTCAGTCTGATTTCGAGCGCGTAAAGCGAAGTTTGTAGGCTAAGAAAACTTGATTGCGAAGCGAGTCGCGAGTTATTTGAAATTATGATTATTCTTACAATTGCTATGATCTGCTGAGACATTTTAATTAAATTTATTTTTAAGATTTCCTAGCGGAATAAAAACTTTGGGTTCATGTTATCAAAAAAGCGCCACTCATAAATTGTTCAAGAAATTGAAACAGCTTAAAGGGCATCTATTTTTTCTTTGAAATTCGAAAGTTGAGATTTTTCGAGAAAGTTAGTGTTTTTTGTTTAATTTTTGCGGTCATTACTCTTTTCCAATCTTCGATTTGCTGTTTAATTTTTTCAAACGGTAAATCTTAACAGTTTCTCGAAAAAAGTGTTTTTTAAGGTATTTTAAAAAATTGGGAATTTTTTCTCAGTCAGTTTTTGCTACTGTAAATTTCACAAACTGGTCTAACAGTAAGCCTTCGCAATTATTTAACTTAGGTGTAACATGGTGTCTTCAATCGAGGATACGATTTGAGAACACCTATTTTGAAAAAGAAACGATGAAAAGAGGCACCCACAGGGCTGCAATGTTTAAAACAAGGTTGCACATTAGCATTTAAAACAACTTCCCCTGATTGGCTGATTTTCTTGTGTGCTTTGACTAACTGAAATTCAAGATATGTGCGTTTGAAAATTCAAGATATATTCGTTTTGTCCGGATAATTTAAATCAGCACTGTATTACTGTGCAACTTAAATAAATCGAACAAGAACTCAGTTGCTTATGCGGTTTTTTTTGTGGAAAAACTTCTCGATGGATTTCGTGAACAAGATATCGAATGACGAAATGGCTCGAAAGTGCCGAAAAGCGGTTATATATCTTTTTTCCGGATTGTTGATTTGCTGCGTATTTATTGTGTCCGGCTTTTTTTCGGAGTCGATCTTACTGAAAGTTCCAGTCTAGTTGTTTAAAATCTGATTAGATTATCTTAAAGACCATAAAAGTCTTCGATCACTACTTGGACCTGGTTTATATTAAAAATTCGCTCCATTTTCGCTCCTAGCATAAAACTAGCAAATTTCGCTCCATTTTCGTGAAGGCAATTTTCGGGAAGTTTTCGTTTTAAAATCAGCTGCTTGCTTCCTGGATGTGAGGCGGATGAGGGTCATCCTCGCTCATATGCAGTGTCTTCATGAGTGTGCAACAGATTAAGAAGCGAAAAAACAAGAATAAATTAATCTAATTTAAGTGAAATAACAGTTCAAAAACGATTTGTGAATAATAGCATTGTTACCTTCAAATCCCAAAATATTCCTCAGAAAATATTCGCATTCCTTGCCTTGTACCAAAGTCATATCTTTCTGCATTAGGTTCCCCTAGAAATGCCAAAAATGTGGAGAGTCAATTGACAGCTAATGCACGACCATCTAGTCATTCGGAGACACAGCAGAATTCTACGCAGCGACAGCAAACAGATGTCAATTGTGTCGCACCCGAGAACCAGAACGGCCAAGGTGTCACCACCGAACAGCAGGAGGCAGCCATGAAACGGTACCTACATCTAGTACTAGAAGCATGGATCTATTCAATAGTCCACCTCCACATTTTATTTGCTACTTCATTGTGTAAAGTTTTCTACACTTGGAAAATGTTGATTTTCGTATTTGATTTTTTTCCTTTTGGTTGGGTTTTGAGCCAACTTTTTGCTTTAGTTGTTTTACCCTGAGTTGCAGTTTTGCTTCATCAAATTACAGTAGTTTTCGAAATTGTCCTTATTTCAAAAATTAAGTTAAATTCCATTTTATCATTATTTTGCCGTAGTTCACGTTTGCCTTATGCTGAAAAAGAGGGCAAACCATCATCTACATGCAACAGTGTCACTTGCAAGTTCAAAGTCTTAAGTTTTTGCAATTGTGTGAAATTGCATTTCTCACCGTAAAGTTTTAACCTATTTAACCTATTATAAGACACTTATTTAAAAGAATAAAAACTTATCGGCTACTTTAATCCATGATTGGCCATCTTTTATTGACTTTATTGGTAGGCTCATCAGGCCTTGCTTCACTTTCAAAAAAGCCATAATGGGCTGCGACATGGGGCTAGTCGGGTCAATATTGAAATTAATGACTGAATCGCAGTTAAATTCAATTTTTTCATGGGTTCCATGACCTTTCTTGAAGATTTAACACTTTTTTTCGAAAGTTCAATCTGAGTGCATAAGTTGCACCAATCTATGAAATCTTGGCTTAGGGTCATATTTAAAAATTCACTAGCATTTCCTTATTTCAAGAGTAATTACTAGCATTTCGCGATTCCTCCAGTATTTGACGGTTTCAAGAAATGATAGTAATTATCAAAATTGGCAAGGACGACTCAAAATTGGCAAGAAAGCGTACGCTCCCTCCTATATTCGCTACTGATTTCAGCTCGTACAAACCTTGTCTAAAAATCTCAACCTAAAAAAATTGCGAAATAAGTTTTTCGGCTTTCAATTTTTTTGCAATTATGCTGTGCTCTGTTATTTAGCCTGGCAGAACTGGAGGCGATGTTCAACCAGAAATTCATAAAGGGAGGAAGTGGTGCTACTGGCTCTGGCTCAAAACAGACTGCAGCTGGAGATAGTGTCAGTGCAGGATCTGGAGTTGGGCTGCAGGAAAAGGTTTGTTAGAGCAATTCACTAATCAATCATCCCTGCTATTTTAGAATGGTTTTTATCATAAGAAGAATGTAATGTCTATAGTCAGTGTCACTTTTTAAAAGATATTTTTCAGCTGAAATTCAGATGTAAAGTGACCTGGAATGAAGTAAAATCTGGGTGAGCGTAAAAGTTATATTGAGGGCGCCCTTAAATTGTAACTTCGTTGGATAAACACTAAACGAAATTCCTATATTTTGCCGAATATTGTTAATCCTACCGTTTTTAATTCGATGTTGACCTTGCTGATAATCTTCACTTCGTCAAAATCCCTCCTTCTTGCCCGTTTTTAAGAAGAAAAGGACCTGTTCTCTTTAATTTGGTCCTGTTTTCTAAATGAATTTTTGGTGGGGTTATTCTCCACTGTGTAATGCTGCAAACAGTTCCTTTTTTGGCCGAAACTTAGTAACCAAATTTCCTACCTTAACCTTTTGACGGAGGGGCTTGTTAATTTTGTTTCTTTTTGGTCGATGTTAGAAGTTATGAGGAGGAAACTTATCAACAATTCAATGTAGTTCAGTTATTTACATGAAGTATATGGGTAGTTCAAAAAGAGTTTTTTCCCTTGAAATCTGAAATGAATTTATGTTGTGTTGTGTGTTTGTAGAGACTGCGTCGTAAGCGACAGAAGGAGAAGACAGAAGAGGAGAGGAGGCGGAGACAGTTGAGGGAGGCGGCAGAGAGGGACAACATGGACAGTGTGGTCCAAGTGTACGACAGTGTCATGAATGAGATACAGGACAGGGAGAAGGGGGAGGAGAGGCTGCAGAGGAAGGTCAGTTAAGAGAGGGGGATGAAGGATGGACCTAATGGACAGGGAGATAGATTTTAGAGTGTGAATAGACGAAGCTCATTCTCTCATACTGTCGTTTTGTTTTTCATTTTGTCGGTTTTGTTTATAATGAAGCTCGTTTATTTAAATATCAAAATTCGAGAGAGCATTGAAGTGAGCTTTACTTTCAGTATCAAAGGCTAATTTAATTTAACAATACGAATAAAACAATACATTTCAACATGATTTTATCAAATCACTTTTTTGACCCAATTTGCACTTATCATTGCACAGGTTTCGTGCGAAGCGGTGTCTGCGTTTTTTGAGCTGGATAAACTAGGTCCACGATGTTGTTAATATATATAGCATAAAGAAGTCAGATTTTCAACTGGTTTGAATTGAGTTTAATCGTTTCTTCAGCTAAAAGCGGCGGAGACTGAGATCCGTGACTTGACGTCTGAGTTTGAGCTGGAGAGGAGGGACTACTTGGAGACCATCCGCAGTCAAACTAAACAGATGCAGCTGGTGGAAGCCATTCTGGAGAAGGTATGGAAAGGAAAGAATTGTTCATTTAAAGGTAGTAACCTCGTGAACACTGTAGCACGCTGACATATCGTAGCGTTAGTTCTCTTCTTTCTAAAGAAAGCGGCTGATTCTGAGTTATTAATATCAATAAAACATTACTTCAGAACAACTAGCTTGAAACTTACCCTTAGATTAAAACTCAAAAACAATTTAATTCCAGCTGAATCGGATGTTTTGAGAAGTTTGAAAATCTGATTGGATTGTGTTCTGTGACGTTGAGCATTTGATGATATTGCTATTATCGAATGGTTGGTAATTATTCAATTGAAGAAAAAAAAGAAGTTTTCTTCAATTTTTGAGCCAGATTACAAATCACTTGAGAGACTTGATTTGACATGGATCCGTTAGTTCAGCGAATAAAAAAGTCTTAGTTACGATTTGCATGCTTTTCCCTTGCAAATAAATTATCTTAATTTAACTTAACTATGTTTGTTAAATCGCAAGATGAAAAGCGATGCAGAACAAAGCGAGAGGACCAACTATACGCTAGGTGTGTTCAATTGATGGTTCTTTGAATGCTGATGGTATTGTGTATGTGAGGGGGCGTGTTGTAGGTGCAGCCTCTGATCCAGCGGGACTGCAACTACTTCAGCCTGAGGAAAGTGAAGGAGGAGGCCAAGTATGATGTGGATGGACTGTGCTGGCGACTCCCCGAAGTACAGCTCATCAAAACCAACTTGCCCAGTCTCGGTCAGTATCTTGTGGTAGTTTTTTTTTGCTGCAAAAAACATACACTGATCCAAATAAAAAAAGTGAATATTCTGGACAGGTTTAAGTTTTCTGACAGTTTTCGAAAAATAATAATTAACGTGTTACACTTTTTATAGCTTATATTTTATTATAATAATTCGGAAGTTTGCATGGATAAGGAATATCAAGTTGTATAGTTTGCAATGAGGTGTGGAAAATAGCCATAAGCCCTTAATTGGACTGGTGTACCGTCAAATTCTCGGGAAAGCTTCTATGCTCAAGTAACAAGCGACTCATATTTTATAGCTGAGTCTGAGTTGGTAGTTTTGTCAATATCATAATGTTCATTTGTGAGTGTTGGTGAACGGATGGACTGCTTGTGATTCCAGGCCAAGATGGGCAGCAGCAGAGAAATGGGACCACTGGTCCATTTGGGACTAAGTTGTCGGACAGCAGTGGTGGTGGTGGCAGAGGAGGAGGAGGAGGCAGCAATGGGTACGCACAGGCGGGTAGAGGGGACAACCTACATGACAACAGCCAGTCTCACAGGGTACTTATATCAAATCAAACAAATGATTATCTCACTTGCCAAAACAGGTGTACTTATTATCGGAAACTGGACTTTCGTATCCTGTAAACAATTTTCCGTGCAAAACCTGTCAACAATTAAGGTTGTTTTATTTTGGAACTTCCGTTACTTTGGAGCAGCTGTTAAATTAGTGCAGTGGAAAGGAGGTTACAAAGATTTGGGGTTAGTATCCAGTCCGGACCATGTTGTTTTATATTTATGTAATTGAGGTTTCAATTGTTTAATGTTTTTGGTCTTCGTCCCAGTTCTTGTCGGCTTAGGTTCCGTTGTTTTTTTTACTTGCGAGGTCAAGTGACTTGTAATCGGGAACTAAACTTTTTCCCCATAAACAACTTTGGTTACACATTCAAGATGTACGTGCAGTTTCTACTGTGCAGGCTGGCATACTCATTTTCTTGGAATTCAAATAAAAGTATCTTTTGATCATTGCGGGTTGTAATTAATGTTTTAAAATATATTTATTGAAAAAATGTTGATTTTTTTTTCGGATTCGTGTTTTTCGGCCTAGTTTATGTCGGTTCATTTTCCGATTTTTAAAATGGCATTTATAATATCTGGTACTGTTTTAATCGGCTCACTTTAAAAAACAAGTACATGTGTTTTTGTATTGTGTTCTGTAATTTAACGTGGGAAAAGTTGTTTTTCAGTAAAATTAAGTTTTATGAAAACGCATAGGCTTTTCATTTTTATTTCAATTTTTTTCGAGTGGCTTCGGAAAAAATGTGTGTCTGCGTTTTTCCTAGTCTCTTTTTACCTTGCTCCACCTTCAGCAGCCTTCAGAAATTTCAGCACGGGGAATATGTTTGACTCATATTTTGGATTTTCCCGCCAAACCTGACATTAAGATTTCAATTGAAAGAATCGGTAACGGAGATCTCTTCTGCATCAGCTGCTAGGCCCTAATTTTTATAGATAAAAGTTGTGGCCTCAAAAACTACCATCTCATATCAGGCCATATTTCGGACTTGTTCTTTTTTTGAATTTTTCTCAAAAAGCATCTCATACCTAGGTCAAATCGAAAAAAAAACTGGCTGTGGGAATCTTTCAAGCAGAAACGTTCCAATTTTTCAGTTAAAAGAATTAAGGACTCAAAAAAGACAATTTTTTGACAGTTGTGTAACTTTTCGGCTTTGCTCGAAAATCACCCTCCCAAATCTGTGTTCAGTAGATCCCGATCAGTGAAGCATATTCTGTAAAAACTCTTGAAACTTTATAGCTCATTTTTTTTTGTCAGCGGTTTTTGAGGCTCATCAGGTGGGCAACCAAAAATTTCAATCAATTTGAGCAATTTTCTCAACTAAGTTTTTCAAAAAAATCCTTCTTCCATATTTTGCTCTATTCATTCTCTTGTAACGCAATGTGTTTCGCTTTGCCTTTGCATTCTAAAGATCAGTTCGATACCTCTCAAATGTCTTTCAGGTTGCAGTTCATTTACAAAGCGATAGAATTTGGACAGCAATTTTTATCTTCATTTTTTCAGCGTTGTGTTTGCTATTGAATCGATTTCCGAATGCTAAATTTCAGTTTCGCACCTTTTTAACTCTAAACAACCTAACATCATGCAATTTCACTTACTAGCTTTGTTACCTTTCAATTTATAATCACTATATTTTAAAAGCCATTTCTATAACTTTAGACCGCTTTAATCTAAAATGAAAAGAAAACTCACTTCAAATGCGTCTTGGTAAACATCAAAGAGTAAAGCGAGAGATATTTTTGCCAATGAAAGCCAGCAAATTTCGCGCTTCTTACTTCGCGTAAGTAATGATTGGAAATGACCTTGCCAATAATTCGGATTAATAGTTTCAGCCGGTACAAAATTTAAAAAATAATAAGGTTTTTTCAGTGGCAAAAGGTTAAAAATCAACGCACCGTCCAAAAAAGGTTGATTGTCGCGACATAAAATTACTAGTGCACGAGTCCAGGTCTTGCATTTAATACGTTTTTAAAAAGGAAAGAATTAAACAAAAATAAGACAACACACACTGGCGTAACACAAATTAGACAATGCTAAAGTTTAGATCAGTTTTGTCTTTGAAACAGACATATTGTCTTGAATTCTTTCATTTAATATGCGGTATTTTGTGAGTTTATGGCCACTGGATGCATCGAAAAAGTTCTAGTTCTTGCACGGAGGCGTCGTTTTGAAGGCTGCCCACTACTTTCAATTTACTAGTGCTATTTCCACTGCATTTGCTGTCGTAGCAAGCCCACTCACTGCCGCATCTCGTGTTTTCCAACAGAAAAGTGAGAATTCAACTTCACCATGCTTTTTACTTAGTCAGAGCCGATGTAGGGACACAGGCCGTCAATTTTTCGGGCTCCAAACAGTTTTTGTGGCATATTTTCTGATTTTTTTGAACGTTCATAACATAGGACTTGCCTATTTTTTTCTTCTTTCAAATGCATGGAAAGGCAGCATATTCAAAGCAAACGCTAAATCATGATTTGTTTCGTAGGTCACTGTGAGACCCAGCTCAATATTTTTTTAGGTAACTGAGATGGAAAAAACAACCCTAAAAATGCACTCCGGGGATTTTTAGGAATGAACAAAGAGCAGCTGGCTCAAAAGCTAACAGTTTTTCTAGGCCGGCGGTTTAGTGCTAAATCAGTTAAAGGTTGCAAAAACCGATGATAGCTTTTTTTTCTGGGAAGACAGTTGTATATACATGCGATACCAGATACACTAACATGAATTGAGTATTGCTGATAGAACATTTCGGAAGTAATGTTATAGGTTCCATCGGCTAACCAGAGGTGATTTTTCCAAAATTGATAGCATTTTGTGGTCACCTCATAAAATGATCCGCTCATGATCAATTGATCCACTTTCATACCGGATAAAATTTCCAGAAAGTTCAAGAATCTCGAAGTTTAGTGCAACGGGGAAAGGTGTCATATTTATCTCTAGCTGCTTGCGTGTGCGTGCAGCCGTTTAAATCAGTTTTTTTAAGTTGAAATGACCACTCTATTTGTCATCCCAGCTAACTTTTATTTCTGGCAAAACTGCCCTGGAAATTGCGGCAGCCGGTGTAAGTCTCTCACTGAGCTCTTTTAAATGCTTGATGTTTCGGACATCTGATTTTCCCGCTGAAATGTCTTGATTAGGTTCTCCACGCGTCTCGGTCAATTCTTAATTTTCAATAATTGCAGCTGCTCGGAACTTATATGTTTTATATTCTGAGGAAATCCTGTTTTTGGTATAATTTCGCTTGAAAAAATTTCGTGGCCCAAAGCCCAGCTTGTGTTTAGGTAAATATGTGAAATCGAAAGAAGACTCGATCTTTATTTCTTTTTGGTGTTTGTTTTTTTTTTATGATTTCAGCACACCCTTAATTGACTCTCAGAAAACATATTTGTCAGAAACAAAACGTCGAATTGTCATGAATTTAGCTGAAGCTTGTTTTCTTGTAATTATGTTGATGTTGATTTAAAATTCATCTAATTGAATTTTAAATACGAACGGGTCGATGAGAGCATTTTTTTTTATTAAAGCTTTACTGAGTATGTATAACAATATGTGTAACAGTTCATCAATATGATGCGTGCGTTACTTACAGGGTTAACTTTGGTGTGATAGGAGTTAAGATAAGGAAAGGAGTTCATACAGCACTAATTTTGGTATAAAGTTATAAAATAGGAATTAAATTATGGGGGGTTTAAATTCTTCAGTAATAAAATGACTAGGTAGTAAAATGCACGGTGGTAAATTGATTGTTATTTTGTAGGACACCCATTTTTGTTTATGCGAGTGCTTGCGCTCATGTATTGACGTATATAGGAGCACTGCAACGTATTTTATTAAGTGTAAAAAATTGAATTAATTTTGGTTTTGGTGATTAGAAATAGTTTTTGGTTTTGGTGATTAAAGGATAATTTTATTTCAGAGCGGGTGAAACTGGTGAAGACCCTTAGATAGGTCATGATTTTTTTAGAGAAAAGCGTTAAGCTTCGATCGCGCTGAAAAGTTGACAATTTTTTGACAGTTGTGTAACTTTTCGGCTTTGCTCGAAAATCACCCTCCCAAATCTGTGTTCAGTAGATCCCGATCAGTGAAGCATATTCTGTAAAAACTCTTGAAACTTTATAGCTCATTTTTTTTTGTCAGCGGTTTTTGAGGCTCATCAGGTGGGCAACCAAAAATTTCAATCAATTTGAGCAATTTTCTCAACTAAGTTTTTCAAAAAAAATCCTTCTTCCATATTTTGCTCTATTCATTCTCTTGTAACGCAATGTGTTTCGCTTTGCCTTTGCATTCTAAAGATCAGTTCGATACCTCTCAAATGTCTTTCAGGTTGCAGTTCATTTACAAAGCGATAGAATTTGGACAGCAATTTTTATCTTCATTTTTTTCAGCGTTGAGTTTGCTATTGAATCGATTTCCGAATGCTAAATTTCAGTTTCGCACCTTTTTAACTCTAAACAACCTAACATCATGCAATTTCACTTACTAGCTTTGTTACCTTTCAATTTATAATCACTATATTTTAAAAGCCATTTCTATAACTTTAGACCGCTTTAATCTTGCCTATTTTTTTTCTTTCAAATGCATGGAAAGGCAGCATATTCAAAGCAAACGCTAAATCATGATTTGTTTCGTAGGTCACTGTGAGACCCAGCTCAATATTTTTTTAGGTAACTCTGAGATGGAAAAAACAACCCTAAAAATGCACTCCGGGGATTTTTAGGAATGAACAAAGAGCAGCTGGCTCAAAAGCTAACAGTTTTTCTAGGCCGGCGGTTTAGTGCTAAATCAGTTAAAGGTTGCAAAAACCGATGATAGCTTTTTTTTCTGGGAAGACAGTTGTATATACATGCGATACCAGATACACTAACATGAATTGAGTATTGCTGATAGAACATTTCGGAAGTAATGTTATAGGTTCCATCGGCTAACCAGAGGTGATTTTTCCAAAATTGATAGCATTTTGTGGTCACCTCATAAAATGATCCGCTCATGATCAATTGATCCACTTTCATACCGGATAAAATTTCCAGAAAGTTCAAGAATCTCGAAGTTTAGTGCAACGGGGAAAGGTGTCATATTTATCTCTAGCTGCTTGCGTGTGCGTGCAGCCGTTTAAATCAGTTTTTTTAAGTTGAAATGACCACTCTATTTGTCATCCCAGCTAACTTTTATTTCTGGCAAAACTGCCCTGGAAATTGCGGCAGCCGGTGTAAGTCTCTCACTGAGCTCTTTTAAATGCTTGATGTTTCGGACATCTGATTTTCCCGCTGAAATGTCTTGATTAGGTTCTCCACGCGTCTCGGTCAATTCTTAATTTTCAATAATTGCAGCTGCTCGGAACTTATATGTTTTGTATTCTGAGGAAATCCTGTTTTTGGTATAATTTCGCTTGAAAAAATTTCATGGCCCAAAGCCCAGCTTGTGTTTAGGTAAATATGTGAAATCGAAAGAAGACTCGATCTTTATTTCTTTTTGGTGTTTGTTTTTTTTTATGATTTCAGCACACCCTTAATTGACTCTCAGAAAACATATTTGTCAGAAACAAAACGTCGAATTGTCATGAATTTAGCTGAAGCTCGTTTTCTTGTAATTATGTTGATGTTGATTTAAAATTCATCTAATTGAATTTTAAATACGAACGGGTCGATGAGAGCATTTTTTTTATTAAAGCTTTACTGAGTATGTATAACAATATGTGTAACAGTTCATCAATATGATGCATGCGTTACTTACAGGGTTAACTTTGGTGTGATAGGAGTTAAGATAAGGAAAGGAGTTCATACAGCACTAATTTTGGTATAAAGTTATAAAATAGGAATTAAATTATGGGGGGTTTAAATTCTTCAGTAATAAAATGACTAGGTAGTAAAATGCACGGTGGTAAATTGATTGTTATTTTGTAGGACACCCATTTTTGTTTATGCGAGTGCTTGCGCTCATGTATTGACGTATATAGGAGCACTGCAACGTATTTTATTAAGTGTAAAAAATTGAATTAATTTTGGTTTTGGTGATTAGAAATAGTTTTTGGTTTTGGTGATTAAAGGATAATTTTATTTCAGAGCGGGTGAAACTGGTGAAGACCCTTAGATAGGTCATGATTTTTTTAGAGAAAAGCGTTAAGCTTCGATCGCGCTGAAAAGTTGACAATTTTTTGACAGTTGTGTAACTTTTCGGCTTTGCTCGAAAATCACCCTCCCAAATCTGTGTTCAGTAGATCCCGATCAGTGAAGCATATTCTGTAAAAACTCTTGAAAGTTTATAGCTCATTTTTTTTGTCAGCGGTTTTTGAGGCTCATCAGGTGGGCAACCAAAAATTTCAATCAATTTGAGCAATTTTCTCAACTAAGTTTTTCAAAAAAAATCCTTCTTCCATATTTTGCTCTATTCATTATCTTGTAACGCAATGTGTTTCGCTTTGCCTTTGCATTCTAAAGATCAGTTCGATACCTCTCAAATGTCTTTCAGGTTGCAGTTCATTTACAAAGCGATAGAATTTGGACAGCAATTTTTATCTTCATTTTTTTCAGCGTTGAGTTTGCTATTGAATCGATTTCCGAATGCTAAATTTCAGTTTCGCACCTTTTTAACTCTAAGCAACCTAACATCATGCAATTTCACTTACTAGCTTTGTTACCTTTCAATTTATAATCACTATATTTTAAAAGCCATTTCTATAACTTTAGACCGCTTTAATCTTGCCTATTTTTTTTCTTCTTTCAAATGCATGGAAAGGCAGCATATTCAAAGCAAACGCTAAATCATGATTTGTTTCGTAGGTCACTGTGAGACCCAGCTCAATATTTTTTTAGGTAACTCTGAGATGGAAAAAACAACCCTAAAAATGCACTCCGGGGATTTTTAGGAATGAACAAAGAGCAGCTGGCTCAAAAGCTAACAGTTTTTCTAGGCCGGCGGTTTAGTGCTAAATCAGTTAAAGGTTGCAAAAACCGATGATAGCTTTTTTTTCTGGGAAGACAGTTGTATATACATGCGATACCAGATACACTAACATGAATTGAGTATTGCTGATAGAACATTTCGGAAGTAATGTTATAGGTTCCATCGGCTAACCAGAGGTGATTTTTCCAAAATTGATAGCATTTTGTGGTCACCTCATAAAATGATCCGCTCATGATCAATTGATCCACTTTCATACCGGATAAAATTTCCAGAAAGTTCAAGAATCTCGAAGTTTAGTGCAACGGGGAAAGGTGTCATATTTATCTCTAGCTGCTTGCGTGTGCGTGCAGCCGTTTAAATCAGTTTTTTTAAGTTGAAATGACCACTCTATTTGTCATCCCAGCTAACTTTTATTTCTGGCAAAACTGCCCTGGAAATTGCGGCAGCCGGTGTAAGTCTCTCACTGAGCTCTTTTAAATGCTTGATGTTTCGGACATCTGATTTTCCCGCTGAAATGTCTTGATTAGGTTCTCCACGCGTCTCGGTCAATTCTTAATTTTCAATAATTGCAGCTGCTCGGAACTTATATGTTTTATATTCTGAGGAAATCCTGTTTTTGGTATAATTTCGCTTGAAAAAATTTCGTGGCCCAAAGCCCAGCTTGTGTTTAGGTAAATATGTGAAATCGAAAGAAGACTCGATCTTTATTTCTTTTTGGTGTTTGTTTTTTTTATGATTTCAGCACACCCTTAATTGACTCTCAGAAAACATATTTGTCAGAAACAAAACGTCGAATTGTCATGAATTTAGCTGAAACTCGTTTTCTTGTAATTATGTTGATGTTGATTTAAAATTCATCTAATTGAATTTTAAATACGAACGGGTCGATGAGAGCATTTTTTTTTTTATTAAAGCTTTACTGAATATGTATAACAATATGTGTAACAGTTCATCAATATGATGCGTGCGTTACTTACAGGGTTAACTTTGGTGTGATAGGAGTTAAGATAAGGAAAGGAGTTCATACAGCACTAATTTTGGTATAAAGTTATAAAATAGGAATTAAATTATGGGGGGTTTAAATTCTTCAGTAATAAAATGACTAGGTAGTAAAATGCACGGTGGTAAATTGATTGTTATTTTGTAGGACACCCATTTTTGTTTATGCGAGTGCTTGCGCTCATGTATTGACGTATATAGGAGCACTGCAACGTATTTTATTAAGTGTAAAAAATTGAATTAATTTTGGTTTTGGTGATTAGAAATAGTTTTTGGTTTTGGTGATTAAAGGATAATTTTATTTCAGAGCGGGTGAAACTGGTGAAGACCCTTAGATAGGTCATGATTTTTTTTAGAGAAAAGCGTTAAACTTCGATCGCGCTGAAAAGTTGATTGGTTTTGATTAGTTTTTGGATGACTCACTCGTTCACCCTTAAGCTTATATTCTTGTAAAATTCTCTTGTCGCTAGTTTCGGATAATACGAGACAGGCCCAGACGAGTCAGCATGAGGAAAAATGTTGAAAACTTTCTGAAATTTTGCTGAACCCAATTAACGATGTTTTTCCTCAGTGTAACTTTTTTCTGGCTGCTGATTCATAGTCCTTTTTGTTTTGTGATAATGCACGGGAGGTTTTGAATAATTACCATTCACTACAAAGTAGTTACCATTCACTACAAAGCAAATGCCGTTTTCTCAAGCAAATTAGAATTTAAGCTTTGACTATTGACGTTTCAATAAACTCAATTAAGCTTGAAGGACGTATTAACAATTGCATGATTTTTCATGATGTTTTTTGTTTTTTCATAGATAGTTCGGAAAAACATTCACTCATTCGTTTGTCATGCGTGTAAAAAAGAATAATTATTGCTCTTGTTTGCAGTTTTTCGATGAAAACTACGGAATCCAACAGGACGATGTGTTCCAAAACTACATGAAGCCTAAGAGAGCACAGAAGATACTGGAGCAAGGCGCAGGTAAAAAACACTAAAAAGTGGAGGTCATTGTTTGTGTTTGAAAATTTTACGTTAAATATTAGCTTTGTGTTATGGTACGGGATCACTTTTTCAAAAGAAGAAACAAATTTCATCGGTCTGATTTTATGTGTCTTTTCAGCGACCAGAGGCATGAATGACAACTCAAATTCAAGGCGCAAGTCTATTTCTTCCCAAATGACATCCAGTGGGGACCATCTCGGATCCTCTTATCGCAATTCACACCAGCTATTAGGGGAGCACCCACCCTTCTGCTCTTCCTCCTCCTCCCCCATCGGATTGGGAATGGGGGCGGGAACTAGCAGCACCGTTTTAATGTCCCCCTCAAATGCGTTTGAGATCCCTAATCCGAAAAATGTTCGTCTGGAGAAATTGGATTTGAATGCGGAAAGACCTTTCTCGAATAAGTCGAAAAAGAAGAAAAAAGAGAAGACCTTCGTGGCTTATTAGTGACGAATTATGAAAGTCGAACCAAATTTGATGCTATGTTTGTATTATTTTTGACTTGTATTAAAATGTAGGTAATGCTGATTATTTGATATGTCGGCCAAAGTATTTGATATGTCGGCACTTATTTTAACCTAATATAGTTTCCGTCTAATATGTGCAGCCGCGATGAATTCTCATCTCTTTTTTAGGTTCTGCCCAATTATGTCTCAAATTTTTGGCATTATCTACGAGCTTTAAGTTGTTTTGAAAAAAATATGTTCAAAAAGCAAAAATAAATAAAAGTGCTATTTTAATTATTTCATGTTTTCATTCAAAGTTTTCATGATTACAATATTGTATTTTCAAAAGGCAACACCGAAAGTTAAAGCTGCAAATACTCCGGGCAAATTGCGGAAGGGACGTACTATAAGTATTGGTAAAAAAAAGAAGTAGTAGTAATAGTGTTTTGTATCGAAAATCGAAAAGTTGTCCAAGTCCGGATATTGGATAGATTTTTGCCTCCTTTCTTATCAGAATCCTAAGTGGAAACAAACCCCATTGTACTACCACAATAACACTATTTTGTGTTACTCCCATATGTGTTGTTGTTTGTTGATGCTGTTAGATTTTTTTGTGGACACGGCTAACTCATTAATGATACGTATCATTTACCGAAAAATTAAAGTACAGCGAAAGCTAAAAAGTCTAGGTTTACTTTAAGACTATTAAATATTAGAAGGTGAGCTAGAGGCTCTCTTTTTTGGTAAAATTATGATTTTGAGGGTACATGAAATTACTTTTAAAAGTTGAGAATTTATGGAATGAGTTTGAGATTTGCATTATACTTGTTTTTTTTTTTCCACGGTCTTCTTTGAATCACGCTTCTTTATTTATCTTTTATTTTGTACATGAGGATTTACGATTAATCAATTCCTTGTTAAAATAGAAAATACAAGAGCTCTTATCATTTGGTTAGACTGTAATGAATACAGAACGGAACAATAAAATAATTAATTGGTTTCTGTTGTTTAACCCCGAATTGGGTAACCATTAGCTAAAAATATGAACAGAAAATTTTGAAATTATATCCCCGTTTGAACCCGAATCAAGTTGGCTTCGATTGCTTTTTCTGGTTTACTGTTAATCAAACGCTGTCATTGCTTCTGAAAATATATGCGGGGTATCTCGAAGCCTACAGGTAAGATGTGCCAATGAGCGCAAAGAATTATTTTTTTTTTGGAGAATATCTTAAAAGGTGTTCACACTCAATTTTGATTTTTTTATTGTTAGTTTTTTTCACTTGCGAGAGCTAGTGACTCGTTATTTTGAGTTCAATTCAATTTCATGTTCTGAAATGGAGGTCAAATATCTTTCCAATCACAAAAGTGAAAAAGACGCAAAAAAGGATTAAGTTTGTGTGAAAAGTTTTCCCAGCGGCGTAATAATGTATGTCGGTTTTACCCTAGCGATTAGCGCTGTGTATTATTACAAACTTTCATTGCACTAGCGATCAGCGTAGGGCATGATTACTAGCCTTCTTTTTTGTCTAACCTGACTCGCAAATAAAAGTGTTCATCAAAACTGTTCACTTATTTGGAAATTTAACTGTAGCATTGGAAGTTGCATAGCATCTGTTCTCTGCTTTTATTGTGGCTAGTTTTTGATGCCTATTAAGCGTCCGTGGCTGAGTGGTTAGTGCGCGAGACTCAAAATCTATAGGTCGTAGGTTCGCACCCGAGACGTAGTCGAATTTTTACTAATTCGATGCTTTTTGTCTAATTTTTCCTATTGCACTTATAGAGCTGCTTTTTGTCGTTTTTTCGCTGTTGTTTGCAAAGCGCAGCTTCGGCTCTGCGTTCAAATTGCTTTGGTTTTATCAAACGAATGTCGATCTTAAAAAAATCAGGAATTCAAAGAGCTTTGAGGTAGCATTTTTCCCGCAAGTTGCAAATTTTAGATCAGTTTATGCGTTTTTAATCAAATAGCATCTTTATCCGCTCTTTTAAAGCGCATTTTTTTTGCCTGATTTTTAAGAAAATTATATACGAAAAAGTTGATTAGTCCAAGAGGCCATGGTTCAATAGTTAAGACAAATCTATCTCAATCTGGAGAAACTTATAGGAAGCCTGTAGTCCAATTGTTTTTGAAGAGTCATAAACGTAGTGAATACTATATAGGTTTTGTTGATTTTTTAGGAAAGGAGTTGAAAGGAAGGCAAACGCCACTATCGAACATCAAAAGTGTAAAGACCGTGTTGATCGACTTCTAGTTCTAAAAGGGAATACAAAGCTTGCCTATTGACACAGTTTTCTCAAAAAGAGCCAATTTTATCAAAAAAGTAAATCATTAAGTAATTTTTTGTTTTTCGTGTTCTTGCGTTCATGACTCTTTTCCAACTGTCTGTTGGTTGTGTTATTTTGGAGCTAGAGCTCCTGCTTGCCGTTTGTTCCGCTTGTGTTTGCAATGTGTAGCTCTATTTCAATCTGTCTTTTTTCGACGGTTCGATTTTTGAAACGATGTTTTTGCGATCGATTTTCAAACGGAGCTCGTCCAAATGAAGCTTTGTTTCATGAACAATTTTTTTACTCTTACGATAAGCAAGGGTATTGCAACCGGTAACTGGACTTTTTTTCCCGTAAACAACAGTCCACAGGGCTCGTCTGGACTCATCTCTAACGTGTTCCATTATGTATTCAAATTTCTTAGCGTTCCGGGCCAACGAGGTAACGAATATGCCGGGCTTGGAGGTAACGAATATGCCGGGGACGGCAAAGTTCATGGGTTTGAGTCTGACCAGGTTCTGTTTTTTTAAACGAGAAATATTCTGTTTCAAAAAAAAATTGTCGGCCAATTATTTGTCTGCTTCTCGGTTGCCGGCTTAATTGTCACTTCTTGGAATTGTTTTTACGCGCATTTTGTAAATGTTGTTTGAAGTTTTTGAATTAGGCCTACATTTTGTAATTTATAACCTTACCTTTACTTCATATTTCCTTCTTTGTTTTTTGTTTTGCTAAAAAATTCCTCGGACAGAATTATTTCGGCCTAAATTTTCATCTGTTAAATGACCTAATTTTGGGACGTTTCGAGATCAACATAATTTTAGCACTCCCTCCCGCACTTTTCACGTTAGTGTTATGTTTACCAGCCTGTTTGTTGAAAATTCATTTTTTTTCGTTGTCGAAATATTTTTCTTTTGCAAAAATTTCTGTTCTTCTCAGAAACTTCTGATTTTCAAAGAAAGAGTATCTAATGATAGAACGCTTATTCCTCTGTGTGCCTGCATACTTGCCTAGAGTCTTTTCTTACTTGACCCCTGTGTCTACAGCCTTCGAAGAAATGTGGGGAATATTTGACCCATTTTTGATTTTTGTTTCGTTTTCTCGAAAACTACCTCTCTCAAATATGAGTTTTTGGTTTCAATGGGTAGAACTGTTTTGACAAGCTTCTCTGCATAAGTATATACGACCAATTTTTTTTTCACATAAAGTTGTGGCACTCGGAATTGTTAAATTTTTTCACCGCTTTGTGTTTTTTTCGACTTTTCTCGAAAACTAAACTCTCAAATCTGTATTCTGAGTAAATGAGATAAAAGATGGTGGAAAGATCGAATAAACAGGTTGTTGAAAGCCTACCTTTCAAATTAGCTATGCCCAGTTTGTTTTTGAAAAGTTATGGCTTTTGAGGATTTTGGAAAGTCTTTTGAACTTTTTTGAATACTTACGACCACTTTTTAGAAACTTTTTGAATTTTCTTAAAATTTACTCAATCAAATATGAGATGGAAAGTTCCATTGAAAGAACGGGTTGCGATAATTGTTCCGCAGATGCAGCGATTCCTTGTTTTTTTCTAAGATTACTCTTATCGCCTTGGGAGAATTGATTGTAAAATTTTCTTACTCTCCTGACTTATTTCAGTAGATAAACAACTAATTTGTTAGGCAAAGTCCAATTTTTGAAATCACACTTTTCGTGCCACATCAGTATAGCAAACTCATTTAATATTAAACACGTGCCTTTAGCTTTAGCTGGGCCTGTAGTTGTTTTTATCGAGGGCTACGAAAAATTTGATTCGCCTTGTTTTTTTCAACATAATTTTTTTTCGACTCATGTTTTTTTTTATGTTTGTATTATATCGCAAATGGTGCGAAGCTCCGCTTCGCCTCTGCATTGAAGATTATGCAAATGTCAAATTTTCTTGTCGGTGTAGGTCCGATCAGCAGTGCCTAAGTACAACAGTGCTGCAACCAAAAATGTGTTCAACTGTTCCAAAAATTGATCATTTTCGAGAATTTTGTTTGTGAATCCTTGGCAGTTTTGCGTAAGTACTGTTTGGGAGCGAAACCGAGAAGACAATTTGCCGAGCTAACTGTTTGTTCAGAAAAATTAATGGCGTCGCGCTTGGTGAAATTTTGATTGTTCAACAAGCAGCATCAATTAAATTGATAGTTTTTGTCTTTTCAACTTCCATCCATTTGAATATAATTTCAGTCAGTGATTTGGAATGAGTAAAAACAGTATTCAATACAGTTTTTGGCATTTTTGAGCAGTATTCTGGTTTTCGTCACTGTTTTACTTCGGCACTGCTGTACTGCCCCGTTTCTTTCGTTCAACAAATGGAATAGCAAAACCCAAAATGGGACAAAAAACGTTAATGACTTCATTTCAAAAGTATGTTTTAATTTTTAGCGAAAAAACGTGAATGTTTTTTAATTTCAAAAGTGAGTTTTAATTTAAGATTTTGCTGAATATAAAATATGAGCTAGTAATCCAGTTTTTTTGAGTTGACTTATTTATAGAAATTGAACGAGTTTTAAGGTTAAGGATTTTCTTTCGGTTTTCTTGAATGCATTTCATTTCTTTCAGTTCTGATTTTTGTTTCTTTTTAAACGTGTGCAAAATTAAATTTCAAAAGCTAGTTTTTAACTGCTGGAATGAATTGTCATTACAAAGTTTGAAATATTATTTTATAATGTTACACCAAATTGTTTTGCTCCAAAATGAGAATTGAGAAAATCTGTGGAAAGCTTTTATTGCAGCCTAAATCGCAATGAAAAGCTGTCAATATGGTTGATCCCAAACTACTCTGTCGATCATTTGAGTTGTAGTTTTTTTGGGAAAAGCACTGTCGAATACATAATGCCTTAACTCTTCAGCTCGATATTGTCACAATTTGATTAGTTTTTCTAGACAATATATACTTAGTCAATCAGATGAGATAATTCTATTAATCAACTGTCACTATAAAAACATCTTTGACAATGTGTTAGTTCTTGAAGTTAATTTTGTTTTGCTGATTTTTTTCAGAGTAGTACTGGTTCGTAGGATTGATTGACTGCATATTGGACATTTGAGACTCACAGGATATACAGGTCAAGTGAAGTAGTGATTGATTGAGTAAGGAAGTGATGGGCAAGCAGAACAGTAAGTTGAAGCCAGAGGAGCTGGCCTCCTTCCGGGCTCAGACCGAGTTCACAGATGAAGAGATAGTCGAGTGGTACAGGGGGTTCCTCAAGGTACACATTCAATGCCTTCTAAGGTGCAGTTAAACAAACAAATTGTTTTTGAGCAATCATGGTGTGCCGCGCAAGTACTGATCTTCGACCACAATTAACTGCACAACAAAAAAATTACAAAATTATACAGTTTCAGAGCTTTGTCGGATACAGAAACTAATGAATCCGATGCGACTATATGTTTAGGATTGTCCGTCTGGCCAATTGAGTGTGAGTGAGTTCAAGAAGATTTATGGAAATTTTTTCCCCTGTGGAGACGCCTCCAAGTTCGCAGAGCACGTGTTCAGGACATTCGACGTCAACGGAGATGGAAAGATTGACTTCAGGTTAGATCCAGCGGGAACATTCCTATTAGTTATTGAAAATAAGTTGGCGTCCTCAAACCATATAATTTGAAGATACCAGAAGATTCTTTTAGGATTGCTTATCGCGTCGTCTTCTTACATTTGTGACACGCCTCGACAAAAGTTATCCGGGAAGTTTTTGTTATACATTCAATTCTGTCATCAATTGCAGAGCAGAGTACCGATGTAATGTATCATGTATCGTGCAGATCATCATCATTATTGAAAACTTATTTGCAGAAATCTGTATAATTGTTGATTTCGGTCATATAAAAGAAGCAACAAAGCACGTATAAAAATCGTAAAAGGAAGATTTAGAGGTTCAAATTTCTTACGTTTTTTAAAACGAAGATTTGAAATTTGGAAAATCAGTCGATGTTTTTGTTCACATCGCAGGGAGTTCATCTGTGCACTGAGTGTGACATCGAGGGGCCAGCTAGACCAGAAGCTCAGATGGGCATTCAGCATGTATGATCTAGACGGAAACGGATTCATATCCAGGGACGAGATGCTAGAGATAGTTTCGGTATGTTCAACTGTAGTGAAACATCCTTGTACATTTTAAATCAAGCAAATATTGTCTCTTTATAATGAGCAAGCGAACGACATCGCCCTGTAGAGTTAATCGACCAAATTTTATCAAGCAAATAAAATAACAAAATTCTGTATTCTAATTGTTAAGAAAAAATACAGTGAAAAATCTTCCATCTGATGCTAGGTTTTGAAAAAAATCATCGTGATAAATTTTAGTCCTTTCAGTTCACCTATATTGTTTCCCCCTGTTTCCATTCTGTTTTAACATTCAAAAAATTGAAAGAGTTGGTTGTGCTGTTTTGACGATTGCGATTAGCAAACATTATCAAATCGGAACTTATACTTTTTCCAGGTGAACAATTTATTTAACAAAACCACTGAATCCATTTCGCTTTTCCAGGTAAACAACTTATTGAACAAAACCATTGAATCTGTTTCTCAAATGTGTACTTTTGTCAACCAATGGGCATATTTTGAGCATGTTTTTGTTTTAAATACCTTTTCTATTCGAAATTTGTTGTTGTATGTTGGTTCTAAATTAACCTGCTCCGGTCTGACATAATTTCAGTTATTTCGATGTTTTCACTTCTGTTTATTCAGATGAAAGGGTTTTAGATTATATTTTAATCGACTTAGTGAACTCATTTTGGGTCGTTGGATGAGCTGAAAAGTTTTCATGTCTGTGTGTGTTATGAGGGGGGAGAGGATGCTTTTTTAATGAACAGTATTTTTTTCTGCCCTACTAGTTCTTTCTGCTTTCTTGCCGCTTCACAAGTTTTGTTACGATGCTACTTTAGCATTTAATTGTTTTACTCGGTATGTTTTTTCAAAGTGAACTTGATGGCAATTCGATGACAATTCGAAATTAACACATGAAAAGTTTGGTAGATCTAGTTTTCTTTCGAAATTTTGGCTTTTTATCGAATATATTTTCTGCATGATATTTTACTCGTTGACTTCACTTTACAGTGCGTCTTTTTTCATCCGAGTTACAGAAGCTCATCTTAAGGTATATTACAAGACAAAGATTTTGAGCTGATATCCGGCATTTCATTGTACAATTAAGTAACAGGGGAGGGTTCTCATGCTTGAAGGACCGAATGCTTGAAAAATGTCAGCCAATCAAAATCGCTAAGCGTTTCTATTGGCTAATGCCTTTCTCAGAAAATCGAAGTCAATATTAACAGAAAATGTTTTAAATCAGTGGTAAATAATAAAACCGCAAAACTATTTAGATAAACATCAATATTTATGAGTTCAATTTTATAAGATTTTTTAATTCTTGAAAACTCATCTGCTTATTATCTAATCGGTCAGTATTAACACTATTGGCCTGGATTTATGTTTTTACTGCGAGATTTTCACGGTTTACTTTGAGATTTTGAATACTCAATTCTGATTGGCTGAAAGTAAGCTAAAATAAATTTCAAGCATTCGGTCCTTCAAGCATGAGGGACGCCACCTAAGTAACAGTTGACAGTATAACAAAGTCACACATTACAATAGCGCGGATGTACAGGCTCTTTGAAAGAAGAAAAATGATATTCCTAAAACACACGAATTTGGGTGTTGAAGTCGAGGAAGGCCCTAAAAAGCATAATTTTTTAAATAGTTTGTTTCACTATCAAATTGCATCAAAAAGGTTTTTGTCTCGGTTGTATCATGTTATCTAATTTAGCGCTATATCGTTTTAATTCTGTATATTTTCAAGTGCGGAGTTTATTCACACGTGCGAACTGTAGTATAATATTAGGAAGTCCTTTCTTTTTTAACCTAAGTCGCAATTAAATGTGCTCATTTGATTTTGTATTTTGGAGAATACAATTTTCCAAAATAGCATTTTGGAGAATTTTGGAGAAATAGCATTTTTGGAGAATAGCTGGGAGAAATAGCATTTTTTTGGAGACATAGCATTTTTGGAGAAATAGCATTTTGGAGAAATAGCATTTTTGGAGAAATTACATTTTTTTTTCAATTCTGTTTTTTTTATATGTTCGGAGCGTATTTGCACGTATTTTAGTGCCATTCCACTGGGGTTTAGGCAATTAGACGATAAACAAATTAGAAGATCAGAAAATAACGGAATTTAGGCAATAACTTGCGTGTAAATAGCTTGAAGTTTGTTACAAACTGAAATTAAATTTTGGTGGAGTAAATACTGTTTGTTCAACCACAAATCAGATTATTAATGTCACAGTTGTATAATTTATGCATTTCAAAAATATAATTTAACTTTTGATTTCACGTTTTATAAGTAACTTACAATAGTAATTTTGATCAGTTCTGTGATCATATACTCTTTTTGTTTTTGTGTAAGTTCACGCTAAAGAAAAAGTTTTCTTGGCTCAGATCTCAACGTCTAAATTCAAAAGCATTTGTCGTCTATATTCAGTTTTTTGTTACGGTCGTCTAATTTGCTTGTCTTCTAATTTCCTAAGCCTGTATTCCACTCCACTTCTTATTTTGGTTTACTTTTGCTCTCGTAGCATTGTTCTTAGCGTTTTTTTGGTTCTTAGCATTTTGCTGCAGTTTTTTTGGCTTACTTTTGCTGCCCTTGCATTGTTTCTGGTTAAATTTTGCTGCCTTAGCAGTATACTTGGAATAATTTTGCTGCATGGATGACTAGTGTTTGAAGATGTCAAACGACTGTTTTGCAGATGCTAGGAAGCGTGACTCTCAATCTCGAGGTCGGAGGTTTCATTCCGGTACATAGCAGAATTTTTATTAGTCTTACTTTTTCTTTCTTTTTCAATTTTCACCCTTTTAGAGCTTCTGTTGCGGTTTTCTCGCTTGTGTTTGCCTCCGTGTAATTTAAATGTGATTTTACCCAAAGACGTTACCTAACCCCAAAATGCGGATTTAGGGGTGTGGATTTCGTCGACCTTTTCTTCAGGTTTTGATTTTCTGAGCTTTCTCAAAACAAAATATCCTAATACGCCAAAACGCAGGCAATTTTTTGCGTCTCCTGAAATACAGGCAAATTTTTGTGCCACCTTTTAAGTTTTGTCTTAATTGGTGCCGAAAGCACTTTTGGAATGAAATTTAAGTTTGTTTGATGCTCGATTTTTGAAAAAGCTTTCCAGGTGGAACTCAATTTAAGATCAATGAGAACAGAAGTGATTTTATTACGCGTGTTGAAATGATTTATCATTAACTTTTGTGACAAAAAATAGTTCTTGAAGCTTCAGTTCACTTAGGTACTCCCTCGCACGAAAACAGTTACGCAAGTTTCGAAAATAATCTGTGCGTTAAAATAACTGTGTTTTCTGTGATACACACTCCGAGGTGCATATATAGAGTTTTCTCGAGAGGGATGCGGATTCCCAAAAAAAAGAATACTTTTCGTCGGCCGTTTTGAATCGGCAAAAAAACTTTTTCGAGCTCTGTTTAGTAGTTTTGCCAAAAAGTTTTTTTCCCTACAAATTGCCCTAAAATGTTATTAGAGCAGTTTTGAAGGGTTTTGATTTGAAAATTCATGTTTACAAATATAAGGTTTAGAGAATAAAGGCACCAAATATGCTTTACGAGTGGAAAATGAAAATTGATATGGTAAAAAGACGCAAACGGGGACCATTTGGGTTGCCAAGGGTTCGAATCCTGCTTCTATTTAAATCCACAACGTATTTGTTGCTGTCTTGTTTTGTATTTTTGCCTGATGTAAATGTGTTTGAAGGCCATTTACAAGATGGTGGGCTCCGTGATCAAAATGCCCGAAGATGAACAAACTCCGCTGCAGAGGACCAACAAGATATTCAAACAGATGGACAAAAACGTGGATGGGAAACTATCCTTGGCAGAATTCATAGAAGGAGCCAGAAGCGACCCCTCTATTGTGCGGCTGCTGCAGTGCGACCCAAGTGGGGTGGGGACATCCTAGAAAACTTAGACTGTCAACCCTCCTCCCTCTAAATAAAAAAACTCTATCCTGCTGCCGAACACATCTGCCCCCCTCCTACTCCCCCACTCAACCTCAATTTCTGCTATACTTTGTCCGCTCAAATCAGAGACCCTTCTTCTGCATAAGCGTAACAAGTTGCTACGAGATTCTGGTTTAGTACTACTTAGACGTGCTCTATCAGTAGTGAGATATATCATTTCATTTGCTGACATGAATGGCAGTTGTTGTTGTTGTTCAAATCATAACTATTAGCCCGAGTGCAATAACCGAATGCGTGAACAAATCACTTTTGCGTAACAGAAACAGATCGAATTTCTATTTTTCTGTATTTTGTTGAGGTCAAAATTCGGTATTGATTTTATATTTTTCTAAATTGGAGAAACCTGGTTTGAAGCAAACAATACCAAATTTTTTGAAAGTTAATTAGTAATAAAGCTCATATATGTGCATGTAGTTAAACATCAAATAAGTTCTAATAAGTGTTTGCTTACAAGATTTTTAATGATTAATTTTGAGTGGAGGTAAATGATGGTAATTTCAATATGATGATATTGGTTCGTTTGCTGAGATGATTATAAAGATAACCAACTTTATGTGTGCAGTATAATTATAAGTTGATTGTTGTGTAGTTTGTCTACCTAACATTACCTATTTTCTTAACTTCTTTTAAAATTCAACTCAACCCAATTGGCCATGAATTTGAACCATATGCCGGCCAATTGAGTTACAGTGTGTGCTAAGGCTTTGAATCCAAATGTTGTTTCTCAAAACATCTGTTTGTTGGCCAAGTTCTTTGAATCCAAAAAATAATATCAATTTTTAAAGGATAATTTTGAACTTGGCCATCGTAATGACACGCTACAAAGTAAATTATGAATTTAATTTAATTACATTAATTGTAAAGATGCATAGTGCCTTTTTACCCTCTAAGTTATTTCTCTTGATTGAAATGATCATTTAACTAATGCTTGTGATTTAATATCCCGTCAAATTTAATTTTAAATAAGCAATACCACGAAATTTAAAGAAAAGAAGCACACCATTTGCAGAAGACACTTTCATTAGTGCATGGCGTATCCAACGTGAAGCGGCCTACTAGCAGATGCGTCGATTAGAATGCCCATTTAAAAGAGTTGTTTGAATATTCGCTCATTCACGTTCTGTTTGCTCAAATTTGCACATTTTGAACAGTAAGCTTTTGGTCGAATTTTTATTAAGGCGAAAGCCAAAATTTAACTCTTCTAACAAAGCAATTAACTTTGAATTATTCATGCTTGCAATATTGAGATACTGATTGCCTCTATAATGGAATGACGATGGATAGAGGTGGCGTAGAATGCATGGAATAGTTAGTAATTTACAATCATTCTCTGATTTTCTGGGTTTAGAAGCTTCGACTGTGATAGAATAAATTGCTTTCTGCGGTTTTCTGTCCTCGCAAACACCATTCTCGTTTTCTGACAGAGTCGTGATGGTCGTTTATACTCTTCCAGCATCCCTGAAGTCTCCATTTTCTCCCAAGTTTTTCCAGCATTCTATTGCATGAGCGAGTCTAAAGAAGGCTTAGCCCGCAGATGTAGCAACTGGATAACTTTCTTCTGTTGTCAATCGATAGTTTGTTTTTGAGATGGTGTCAGAGAGTAATAGAAAAGACATGAACAATACGTTAGATTTGGCAAAATAAAAGGCTAATTTATTCAGAGAATGATTGAAAATTTAGGCTAATTTATTTTCGTCTTAATGCACCCAGTTAAAGCCATAAACGCATGCTAAAAGGCGCGCAAGCTAATCGCTACGCCTAAATTTTCAAATATTTCTCTTGAATTTTCTCTAAGCTTAAAATGTTTTGTACTAGTAGATGTGTTCCTTAATGAGTGCCAGATTTGTACTGATTTTTTTTAGCTGGCCGGAAAAAATTATTTAAATGACTATTCTGGTATAAGGCTTTTTGGTTCCACAGATTTAAGTAAAATTCAACTCAACCCAATTGGCCTTGAATTTGAACCATATGCCGGCCAATTGAGTTACAGTGTGTGCTAAGGCTTTGAATCCAAATGTTTTTTTCTCAAAACATCTGTTTGTTGGTCAAGTTCTTTGAATCCAAAAAATAATATGAATTTTTAAAGGATAATTTTGAACTTGGCCATCGTAATGACACGCTTCAGTGTAAATTATGAATTTAATTTAATTACATTAATTCTAAAGATGTATAGTGTCTTTTTACCCTCTAAGTTATTTCTCTTGATTGAAATGATAATTTAACTAATGTTTGTGATTCAATATCCCGTCAAATTTAATTTTAATTAAGCAATACCACGAAATTGAAAGAAAAGAAGCACACCATTTGCAGAAGACACTTTCATTAGTGCATGGCGTACTAGCAGATGCGTCTGTTAGAATGTCCATTTAAAAGAGTTGTTTGATTATTCGCTCATTCACGTTCTGTTTGCTCAAATTTGCACATTTTGAACAGTAAACTTTAAGCCGATTTTTTATTAAGGCGAAGTTTTCTGGAGAGGGATGCGGATTCCCAAAAAAGAATACTTTTCGTCAGCCGTTTTGAATCGGCAAAAAATATTTTTCGAGCTCTGTTTAGTACTTTTGCCAAAAAGTTCTTCTGCCCTACAAATTGCCCTAAAATTTCATTACAACATTTTTTGAAGGGTTTTGATTTGAAAATTCATGTTCACAAAATTAAGGTTTGGGAACTCAACATTTAGAGAATATAGGCAACAAATATGCTTTTAGAAAGTGTTTTACGAGTGGAAAATCAAAATTGATAACGTAAAAAGGCGCAAACGGGGATCATTTGGGTTGCCAAAGGTTCGAATCCCGCTTCTCTTTATATCTGCAATGTGTTTTTTTTGCTTTCTTGTTTTGTATTTTTGCCTGATGAAAATGTGTTTGAAGGCCATTTACAAGATGGTGGGCTCCGTGATCAAAATGCCCGAAGATGAACAAACTCCGCTGCAGAGGACCAACAAGATATTCAAACAGATGGACAAAAACGTGGATGGGAAACTGTCCCTGGCAGAATTCATAGAAGGAACCAGAAGCGACCCCTCTATTGTGCGGCTGCTGCAGTGCGACCCGAGTGGGGTGGGGACATCCTAGAAAACTTAGACTGTCAACCCTCCTCCCTCTAAATAAAAAAACTCTATCCTGCTGCCGAACACATCTGCCCCCCTCCTACTCCCCCACTCAACCTCAATTTCTGCTATACTTTGTCCGCTCAAATCAGAGACCCTTCTTCTGCATAAGCGTAACAAGTTGCTACGAGATTCTGGTTTAGTACTACTTAGACGTGCACTATCATTAGTGAGATGGATCATTTCATTTGCTGACATGAATTGCAGTAGCTGTTGCTGTTGTTGTTGAAATCATAACGATTAGCCCGAGTGCAATAACCGAATGCGTGACAAATCCCTTTTGCGTAACAATAACAAATCGAATTTCTATTTTTCTGTATTTTGTTGAGGTCAAAACTCGGTATTGATTTTATAATTTTCTAAATTGGAGAAACCTGGTTTGAAGCAAACAATACCAAATTTTTTGAAAGTTAATTAGTAATAAAGCTCATATATGTGCATGTAGTTAAACATCAAATAAGTTCTAATAAGTGTTTGCTTTTATGCTTACAAGATTTTTAATGATTAATTTTGAGTGGAGGTAAATGATGGTAATTTCAATATGATGATATTGGTTCGTGTGCTGAGATGATTATAAAGATAACCAACTTTATGTGTGCAGTATAATTATAAGTTGATTGTTGTGTAGTTTGTCTACCTAACATTACCTATTTTCTTAACTTCTTTTAAAATTCAACTCAATCCAATTGGCCATGAATTTGAACCATATGCCGGCCAATTGAGTTACAGTGTGTGCTAAGGCTTTGAATCCAATTGTTGTTTCTCAAAACATCTGTTTGTTGGCCAAGTTCTTTGAATCCAAAATATAATATCAATTTTTAAAGGATAATTTTGAACTTGGCCATCGTAATGACAAGCTACAAAGTAAATTATGAATTTAATTTAATTACATTAATTGTAAAGATGCATAGTGCCTTTTTACCCTCTAAGTTATTTCTCTTGATTGAAATGATCATTTAACTAATGCTTGTGATTTAATATCCCGTCAAATTTAATTTTAAATAAGCAATACCACGAAATTTAAAGAAAAGAAGCACACCATTTGCAGAAGACACTTTCATTAGTGCATGGCGTATCCAACGTGAAGCGGCCTACTAGCAGATGCGTCGATTAGAATGCCCATTTAAAAGAGTTGTTTGAATATTCGCTCATTCACGTTCTGTTTGCTCAAATTTGCACATTTTGAACAGTAAGCTTTTGGCCGAATTTTTATTAAGGCGAAAGCGAAAATTTAACTCTTCTCTTCTAACAAAGCAATTAACTTTGAATTATTCATGTTTGCAATATTGAGATACTGATTGCCTCTATAATGGAATGACGATGGATAGAGGGGGCGTAGAATGCATGGAATAATTAGTAATTTACAATCATTCTCTGATTTTCTGGGTTTAGAAGCTTCGACTGTGATAGAATAAATTGCTTTCTGCGGTTTTCTGTCCTCGCAAACACCATTCTCGTTTTCTGACAGAGTCGTGATGGTCGTTTATACTCTTCCAGCATCCCTGAAGTCTCCATTTTCTCCCAAGTTTTTCCAGCATTCTATTGCATGAGAGAGTCTAAAGAAGGCTTAGCCCGCAGATGTAGCAACTGGATAACTTTCTTCTGTTGTGAATCGATAGTTTTTTTTTGAGATGGTGTCAGAGAGTAATAGAAAAGACATGAACAATACGTTAGATTTGGCAAAATAAAAGGCTAATTTATTCAGAGAATGATTGAAAATTTAGGCTAATTTATTTTCGTCTTAATGCACCCAGTTAAAGCCATAAACGCATGCTAATAGGCGCGCAAGCTAATCGCTACGCCTAAATTTTCAAATATTTCTCTGTTGAATTTTCTCTAAGCTTAAAATGTTTTGTACTAGTAGATGTGTTCCTTAATGAGTGCCAGATTTGTACTGATTTTTTTTAGCTGGCCGGAAAAAATTGTTTAAATGACTATTCTGGTATAATGCTTTTTGGTTCCACAGATTTAAGTAAAATTCAACTCAACTCAATTGGCCATGAATTTGAACCATATGCCGGCCAATTGAGTTACAGTGTGTGCTAAGGCTTTGAATCCAAATGCTTTTTTCTCAAAACATCTGTTTGTTGGTCAAGTTCTTTGAATCCAAAAAATAATATGAATTTTTAAAGGATAATTTTGAACTTGGCCATCGTAATGACACGCTTCAAAGTAAATTATGAATTTAATTTAATTACATTAATTCTAAAGATGCATAGTGTCTTTTTACCCTCTAAGTTATTTCTCTTGATTGAAATGATAATTTAACTAATGTTTGTGATTCAATATCCCGTCAAATTTAATTTTAATTAAGCAATACCACGAAATTGAAAGAAAAGAAGCACACCATTTGCAGAAGACACTTTCATTAGTGCATGGCGTACTAGCAGATGCGTCGGTTAGAATGTCCATTTAAAAGAGTTGTTTGATTATTCGCTCATTCACGTTCTGTTTGCTCAAATTTGCACATTTTGAACAGTAAACTTTAAGCCGATTTTTTATTAAGGCGAAGTTTTCTGGAGAGGGATGCGGATTCCCAAAAAAGAATACTTTTCGTCAGCCGTTTTGAATCGGCAAAAAATATTTTTCGAGCTCTGTTTAGTACTTTTGCCAAAAAGTTCTTCTGCCCTACAAATTGCCCTAAAATTTCATTAGAACATTTTTTGAAGGGTTTTGATTTGAAAATTCATGTTCACAAAATTAAGGTTTGGGAACTCAACATTTAGAGAATATAGGCAACAAATATGCTTTTAGAAAGTGTTTTACGAGTGGAAAATCAAAATTGATAACGTAAAAAGGCGCAAACGGGGATCATTTGGGTTGCCAAAGGTTCGAATCCCGCTTCTCTTTATATCTGCAATGTGTTTTTTTTGCTTTCTTGTTTTGTATTTTTGCCTGATGAAAATGTGTTTGAAGGCCATTTACAAGATGGTGGGCTCCGTCATCAAAATGCCCGAAGATGAACAAACTCCGCTGCAGAGGACCAACAAGATATTCAAACAGATGGACAAAAACGTGGATGGGAAACTGTCCCTGGCAGAATTCATAGAAGGAGCCAGAAGCGACCCCTCTATTGTGCGGCTGCTGCAGTGCGACCCAAGTGGGGTGGGGACATCCTAGAAAACTTAGACTGTCAACCCTCCTCCCTCTAAATAAAAAAACTCTATCCTGCTGCCGAACACATCTGCCCCCCTCCTACTCCCCCACTCAACCTCAATTTCTGCTATACTTTGTCCGCTCAAATCAGAGACCCTTCTTCTGCATAAGCGTAACAAGTTGCTACGAGATTCTGGTTTAGTACTACTTAGACGTGCACTATCATTAGTGAGATGGATCATTTCATTTGCTGACAAGAATTGCAGTTGTTGTTGCTGTTGTTGTTGAAATCATAACGATTAGCCCGAGTGCAATAACCGAATGCGTGACAAATCCCTTTTGCGTAACAATAACAGATCGAATTTCTATTTTTCTGTATTTTGTTGAGGTCAAAACTCGGTATTGATTTTATAATTTTCTAAATTGGAGAAACCTGGTTTGAAGCAAACAATACCAAATTTTTTGAAAGTTAATTAGTAATAAAGCTCATATATGTGCATGTAGTTAAACATCAAATAAGTTCTAATAAGTGTTTGCTTACATGCTTACAAGATTTTTAATGATTAATTTTGAGTGGAGGTAAATGATGGTAATTTCAATATGATGATATTGGTTCGTGTGCTGAGATGATTATAAAGATAACCAACTTTATGTGTGCAGTATAATTATAAGTTGATTGTTGTGTAGTTTGTCTACCTAACATTACCTATTTTCTTAACTTCTTTTAAAATTCAACTCAATCCAATTGGCCATGAATTTGAACCATATGCCGGCCAATTGAGTTACAGTGTGTGCTAAGGCTTTGAATCCAATTTTTGTTTCTCAAAACATCTGTTTGTTGGCCAAGTTCTTTGAATCCAAAATATAATATCAATTTTTAAAGGATAATTTTGAACTTGGCCATCGTAATGACAAGCTACAAAGTAAATTATGAATTTAATTTAATTACATTAATTGTAAAGATGCATAGTGCCTTTTTACCCTCTAAGTTATTTCTCTTGATTGAAATGATCATTTAACTAATACTTGTGATTTAATATCCCGTCAAATTTAATTTTAAATAAGCAATACCACGAAATTTAAAGAAAAGAAACACACCATTTGCAGAAGACACTTTCATTAGTGCATGGCGTATCCAACGTGAAGCGGCCTACTAGCAGATGCGTCGATTAGAATGCCCATTTAAAAGAGTTGTTTGAATATTCGCTCATTCACGTTCTGTTTGCTCAAATTTGCACATTTTGAACAGTAAGCTTTTGGCCGAATTTTTATTAAGGCGAAAGCGAAAATTTAACTCTTCTAACAAAGCAATTAACTTTGAATTATTCATGTTTGCAATATTGAGATACTGATTGCCTCTATAATGGAATGACGATGGATAGAGGGGGCGTAGAATGCATGGAATAATTAGTAATTTACAATCATTCTCTGATTTTCTGGGTTTAGAAGCTTCGACTGTGATAGAATAAATTGCTTTCTGCGGTTTTCTGTCCTCGCAAACACCATTCTCGTTTTCTGACAGAGTCGTGATGGTCGTTTATACTCTTCCAGCATCCCTGAAGTCTCCATTTTCTCCCAAGTTTTTCCAGCATTCTATTGCATGAGCGAGTCTAAAGAAGGCTTAGCCCGCAGATGTAGCAACTGGATAACTTTCTTCTGTTGTCAATCGATAGTTTGTTTTTGAGATGGTGTCTGAGAGTAATAGAAAAGACATGAACAATACGTTAGATTTGGCAAAATAAAAGGCTAATTTATTCAGAGAATGATTGGAATTTTAGGCTAATTTATTTTCGTCTTAATGCACCCAGTTAAAGCCATAAACGCATGCTAATAGGCGCGCAAGCTAATCGCTACGCCTAAATTTTCAAATATTTCTCTGTTGAATTTTCTCTAAGCTTAAAATGTTTTGTACTAGTAGATGTGTTCCTTAATGAGTGCCAGATTTGTACTGATTTTTTTTAGCTGGCCGGAAAAAATTGTTTAAATGACTATTCTGGTATAATGCTTTTTGGTTCCACAGATTTAAGTAAAATTCAACTCAACTCAATTGGCCATGAATTTGAACCATATGCCGGCCAATTGAGTTACAGTGTTTGCTAAGGCTTTGAATCCAAATGCTTTTTTCTCAAAACATCTGTTTGTTGGTCAAGTTCATTGAATCCAATAAATAATATGAATTTTTAAAGGATAATTTTGAACTTGGCCATCGTAATGACACGCTTCAAAGTAAATTATGAATTTAATTTAATTACATTAATTCTAAAGATGCATAATGTCTTTTTACCCTCTTAGTTATTTCTCTTGATTGAAATGATAATTTAACTAATGTTTGTGATTCAATATCCCGTCAAATTTAATTTTAATTAAGCAATACCACGAAATTGAAAGAAAAGAAGCACACCATTTGCAGAAGACACTTTCATTAGTGCATGGCGTACTAGCAGATGCGTCGGTTAGAATGTCCATATAAAAGAGTTGTTTGATTATTTGCTCATTCACGTTCTGTTTGCTCAAATTTGCACATTTTGAACAGTAAACTTTAAGCCGATTTTTTATTAAGGCGAAAGCGAAAATTTAACTCTCCTAACAAATCAAGTAACTTTGATTTTTTCATGCTTGCAATATTGAGATAATGATTGCCTTTATAATGGAATGACGATTGATAGAGGGGGCGTAGAATGCATGGAATATTTAGTAATTTACAATCATTCTCTGATTTTCGGGGTTTAGAAGCTTCGAATGTGATGGAACTTTAAAACATGTCACTTTAAAACATGTTTTCAAAGTACCTCTACAGTTCACTTGCAAGCGCGCATGTTACGAATTTTTTCACGCCGATTGAACGCACGCTGCGCGTTATCTAGTTTTGTTCAGTTTTGTGCAAGCAACTTGACTGAAGTATAGTATCTTTCTCGGGGACATATACGAAATTTCTTATTATCTGTTTTCTGAATACTTGAAGCCTATACTTTTCCTTAAAAAAACTTTTAAACAGCCCAACAAGTATGTCTGTTTAATGCATTGAGCGCATTTTCTCTTGAGCCAACTAATAGTGAAAAATTGGTAGCAAGCTCTTTAGTTGAGCGAAAGTTCTTATTTTTTTTGCCATTTTTTGTAGAAACTTTTAAAATAAGAAAGTGAAAACAAAAAACGTTGTTTTGTTGTTGAAGGTGAGTTTGTGTCATTTGAAAATTTTTAATAAAAATTTTAGATTGATTTATTGAGTATTTCTCGCAAAGTTTATGCTCAAACGTATCAGCTGATTAGCGTATTTTATCATTTTGCAATTTTTGTCTATTTGTTTCTCTATTTCATAGACCAAATTGTTGAATAGGATCGGAATTAATACCGTGATTTGGTGTATTCCTTGCCTTCTTTTGATTATTTATAACAACAACAGTCCACATTCATTTTTTGTGTTTTATGTGTTAAAAGCTTCAGAGTAGGTTTTATGGTTTTGAAAGATGAGGAAATGCAGTCTTTTCCATGTTGTACACACGTTCCATATTGCACATGTTTCCAAATGTACACACGCCTTTGTCCAGATTAGTTTTTTTGTTATTGAATTCAATAGCGCATCAGTTGTAGAGAAGCGATGAATAAAACCAAACTGGTTTTCAGAAATAGGGTTATTTTCATCCACGCTACGAACCATCCATCTGTTATTCCAGTAACCGTTCCTTAACGTTTGAGAGAGTTGGAGTGAAGGATATTGGTCAATAGTTTTCGGCTGTCGCGTGGTTACCGTTTTTGAAAACTGGTTTTGCATAGCATGAAAATAGTTTCACATATATTTGATATACGATATTTTAATCCAGCAGCGTTCTTAAGAGCGGATAATTGTTTTTTTGATTAGCCCGACAATGCACTAGAAAGTATAGACTTAACTTCATTTTAATCTTTTTTTTGGGTGACAAAGCAAAAAGACAAGTTGTTTCAGTGTTTATTGTCTGTCATGCAAAATGCCGGCGTTGATAGTTAGGAGTCAATCATAATTCTTTCCCAAAGTATAAATTTTGGAAAAATGTGCGATTGACATGTGGTCTGTTATCAAATCGCGAAATGGATTTCCGAAAAAATCAACAGTGACCATGTCACATAATTTGTATCTCAGTATGTTGATAAGTTTACAGTTATCATAATAGTTTTGAAGTGAAATGGAGTTTGATCGACTTTTTTTTATTCATTGTAACTTTTCTTTTTTTCTAAGTAAAATTAAGTTTTCTTTCAACTTTTTATATCAGTTCTCCGATTTTTTATGGAGCGAAGGTTCTTTCATGAAGTAAAGGATTTAATGATGCTGGAAATTTCTGTAGTTGTTTTTTTAAAAAAATTAAACGATTTCCCTATCAACAAAATTTGCAAAGGCGGATAATTGCTTTTCGATGAAAAAAAATTAATCGAATTGTTTATGTTTTTCACTGGGATCTTCCAAAGCTAAAATTAGATTCGAGCTTAATTTTTTGGACGCGCTTAGAGCTGATTTTTACTGTATCTGTTATTTAATGTATTCGTTTGTTCATAGCTTTTTTAGTTAGTTTTCCACGAAGGAACCCAATAGTGCAAAAACTCGATGTCTAAATCGCTAATCATTTTACCTTTACAGGTTACTGAATTGTAAGTGGTTCTTATGTTATTCGGAACCAGTTTGTTAGCGATTTTTGTCCGTACGAATTTCTGGCAGATTCTAAGCAATTTGAGGCCTTGTTGATAGATATATTTACATTTCAGTCAAATATTAAGATAATAGTTTTGTTTTCACTGATTGTGGAATCAACGTCACAATTAAACACCAAACAAATTTTTGAGCGAAAAATCTGTCCAGCAGTTTCTAGCTACAGGGTACATTCTTTACAAAATGTTTTTTTACGGGCTTTCAGTTATACTGTCGTTTAACTGAATTTCTTAGGCATGCAGAAAAACAAACAGCCTCCTCTGGATTTATTATTTGACCTGTCTTGTCTGAAAAACTAATAACTAGGTTCAATCACCGGAAAGTTTGAGGAAAATTTTGGTTGAATCCG